TAAATTTGATTTTAAACAATCAATGACAATTTTTGCACCCTTTATTTGGGAGCCTCTTTTTCCCTCATGGATCCCGAGGTGACAGTCCTGATTCACTGGTTCAGTCTTTCCATCCTAACCAAGGATTTCCACCGCATCTGGAACGGCTCAGATTTTCGTGGCGGATTACGGACAGCAGGAATCACCAGAACTCACAAGAACCCGCAGATTCACGTGCAGTCGCACGATAACAAGTTTTCTTTAGCCACATAGGTAACCATATAAGCAGTAGATTGTGTCCTTCCAGAGGAGGAAATCTACTTCTAGACTTAAAAAATCAGCATCTCCTCATCCATGGTGTCATCGGGGTGAAATGCCGTCGATAACGTTTTACTTGTTAGTCCCTGCTTGTTTGCATGGTGTGAAATACGATCCGCCTGAAACACAGAGTGTTTTATTTTGAAAAGAAGCCAGATGTTTTATTTTGCGTCTGTGCCAGACTTCCTTTCCAGCACGGGTTAATCTGTGCTGAATTTAACCGGCATGCTCTGGCGTCCGGGAAAAATAGAACTCTTGCGATCAGCTGTGGAGTCCGGCGATCTGCAGCAGAACGGAAAGTAACCAGTGGAAATTAACACATTGACTTGAATGGTTACGATCAGCTACATTCGGCGGATACAGCCTTTTCGTAGCCGTTCCGGATGCAGTGGAAATTGCCTGTAACAGGAGGTCCAGTCCAGTCCAGTCCAGTCGTGATAACTACACAAGTATCTACTCTATGACATTTTCCACTAAAGAAAAGGGTCTGATAGAAGCTCTCGTTTTAGTATGATGATCTGGCTTTCACTTCAGGAGCATTATGGTTCTAGACGGTCACTTTAGACATGATGGTGCCTGACCATGAACAGCTTTGTAGGTCAGAAGATGGATTTAAAACTCTAACCCCTGTTTTAAAGCAGAGCAGGCAGTTTCTCTATCATACCATGTGAGCCTCTGTGCAAAAATCACCCTAATAATCCCTGGGTGTGTTGAACTTTTAAGACCTGCTAGACTTAGTTGTGATCCCTCATTTTCAGTAAGTCATACTCAATAAACACAAAAATAGTGGAGTCCGTCTGTGCGTCCAACAAACAAAAACGATATTAAAAGTGCCCCAAATATTTTCCCATCATGCCTCATTTTTGCTCATTTCCTGTTTGTAGCACTCAGGGTCAGATTTTGAAACTAATGGGGCGTCTCTCCACTTTTCTGTCCTGTTACGCACTCGTCCTCAAATATGACTCAAATAAAACAACATTGCTGCTTTGTGTTTTGTTTGTTTATTCGAGTTCTTTTTAAGATTGTGGCAGAAACAAAATCAGGAAATGAGAGAAAAAGAGTTTCATTGTGTCTGGTTTTGTTGGACTTTGATCTAATTTGGGGATTTTAGGAAGGAAGGGGCAGGGGGCTGGTGAATGGTTTGTCAGGATGGTAATAAGCGGAGAGACGGCTCTTTGTGTTGCAGCGTGAGGTTTCGGCTCTGATCTTTGACCCACATATCTAGGATTCTTTTAGGTTGCCGGTTGTCTCTCATGAAACAATGACCCCACAGATCCTTGTTTTGGGGGTTTTGTTGGTTTAAAAGAAGCTCCTTGTTGATGTTTGTAATACTGATTATTTGGAATATGTCCTGTCTCACAGTGATGTACATCGAGTGTGTGTGTGTGTGTGTGTGTGTGTGTGTGTGTGTGTGTGTGTGGAGGGGGGGCAAGGATGAGATTGCTCCCCTAGTGCTCTCATGGCTGAATAAAAATGTAGAAGTGCCCTCTTGAATGCCCTTGAAGTAGATAAAACATTATGAAATGCCCCGTCTGTGAACCTTTTTTGTGGGGAACTTTTATAAATTAGTTGCCTTTCAACCCAATAAATGTGAACAAAAAAGTACCCTTGGATGACCTATTAAATCAGAGATTAGAAAAAGGCCCGTTTACTGCCTTTTAAAATGGATACAAATATTTAAAATCTGCCGTCATGATGCCCTACCAGTGAATAAGGTGAAAAACTGCCACCTGGATTCCCTCACAGTGGATGGAAAATCAACAAAAATGCCCTACCAGTAAGTGCTTTCTGAATGCCCTTCCTCTTGATGGAAACTGAACAAACGTGCTTTCTGTTTATAATAAAGAATAAAAAGTGCCAACAGGATGTTCCTCAAGTGATAAGATAGACATAAATGCCACCTAGATGCCCCTCTAGTCGATAGAAAATCAGTAAAAAGTTCCCGTCTGGCTGCCCCAAAAGTAAGATGAAAAAGCGTCTTTGAGTTGTCTGTATGTTAAACAATGTGATAACTGCCCCTAGAGCTACCTGTCAGTCAGAATTGAAAAAGTCAGCATCTACAATTTAATTTTTATTTTATTTAATGTTTTACATCCTGTATTTGTCACCTAAGAAACGACAATATCAGCAACCAGATACTAAAAGAGCAAATTGTGAAATATCATGGGTGGAGGACATCTTTCAGATGGGATCAAAATAAAAGTTTTTCTTTGTTACAAAAATATGAAGACAGCATGATGTAGAAAAAGAAAAATAGCCTTGGTTGATTTGTACATTGTTTCAGATGGCTGTTGCTCAGATTAGACAGAGTGATGAAATGTTGGCGTCAGAAGAAGAAACTGGAGATATTTCTGTGCCGATTGAAACACATCACCGAACATAATTGCGATAACAAAGAGCGTGAAGCATGAGGCATGTACTTGTTGCTTCAAGATAAATACTCGATAACAGCTCTGTGCTGCTGTGACAAATTAAACCAGCACTCAAACTGTTTCTGTCATGGGAAGTTGCTTTTTATATTTAGATTATAGTCCAGTGTTTGTTTACCTAACATAACTGCAATACTCAGAAGACTACTCTTGAAAATAAGGAAATCCATTTTTAGTTTACTCTTCATGAAGCAGACGATACGACATTCTCTCATGAGCTGAAATTTCTGTCTCATTTACTTTTATTTTTATCATGTACAAGAAGAGAATACACTTAGACTTAGAGATCCTAAAAATATACAGTAACAAAACCCCAGTGCTAATATGAGAAAAAGTGTTGTAGCCCACTGCTGGTACAGATGCTGTTGAGCATGCTGCCATCCTCTGGCTGCTGCTGTGAACTGCAGGAATTAAATTAGGAATGAGGAGTGTTTCATTTACTGTAAATGTTCACAACTGGTGTGACGAATATGACTGTGCTGTTTGCATGATATAATGAGGCATGTTTAATTATTATTATTATTATTATTGGTGAACATAACCGTGAGGATCAGTCATGTTTTTGCAAATTTTTACTATATGAACAATTTAACTTTTTCAAATAGACAAAGACCAAAAAATATAAATCACAGAATATGACGCAGTGGGAAGTTCCTTTTGTTTGTTTGTTTTTTGTTTTTTTTTGTTAATTTTTTTATAATTTACAACTGTGTAAAATGAGATAAAGCAGATCATATTCTGATTAAACATTTTGCATATGTCTCACCCAACAAGGTCACACAAGATATGGTCAAAGATGCTTCATTTTCAGATACTTTTAAGGTTAAAATTGTAAGGTGTATTTTTGGAGCCTGTGATAAGGTATGAGAAAATCGGCATAATAACAAAAAAAAAAACGAGATGCAAATTATACAAACTTTTTTGTATGTAATTTAATTTCCAAAATACATAAATTAAAAATAGTGTATAAAGTTCTACATGGTAAGGTAGAACTTACGGCAGCATTTATTGACATGATTATATTTTCCCAACATTTTCTGACGCCTCGTTGTTACAGCAAAACATTCACATAAAAGGGGCAAAAATATCAGTATTTAAAGCACATTTCTGTTGTTGTTAACACAGATTTTAAAGAAGCTTTTTTAAACTCTGTGAGTAACACAAAAAATATGAAACATTTCAGATCTTTACTTGCAACTGATTAATGGTTACATGAAAATATACCAATAGAATACAACTTTTTCAACATCATAGTTAATATTCATGATTAAAATTCTCAACGGTGAAGGTATATGGAGTCAGAGATTTACCTGACATAAATATAGAAGGCAAAAAAAAGGTCATTATATGCTGTTTCTCCACTACTATAAATTTGTTGATTATAGTATTTTCATAATTCCTATTTTACATATTTATCTCAATGTTTTACAATGCAATATCAACAATATTTTAACTGTACAGTCAACTCACCATTCATTCAGTACAAAGCTTCATTATATCAGTAAAGCTTCATACATCCAGAGTTGCTTTGAAAGACAAACAGTATCTTGTTGATTTAGATTTTTGTGCGGCTACTTTCATTCATGGATCTTCCAACCAAAACATTTATAGTCCTCGACAAAACCGACACCATTGCTTTTTAGGTCGCCTCTGTCACCAACAGTGTAAAGAAGTTAGCTGAATATATATTTTTTTTTAACAGTAAATAACAGATATATCTTTACTGCCACCTTAAAAATATAAAATTAGAACTGATGCCTTTATATGAACAACTAGAATAAAGACTATTAGCAACATTATTGATGTTTTCTGGTTATTTTTGATGCCTGAAGCCACTGCAAAGGAGTAGGTGTGTGATTAAGCCAGTAACAACCAAAACAGCCTTTTTTTAATTACATTTTTTAACAGCAAAAGCTCCCAATAACTGACGCTTTTGAGCATCAAAATAAAGCTAATTGATTAAAAAAAATGCTGCTATCTTCTTATGAAGTTGACATTCCTTTGAATTAGTTAATTCATAAATTAAATTGATAATAATGAATAATAATAATAATAATAATAATAATACTGTGTGTAGGGATATAGTGTAGTAAACCTTCGTCAACCTCTGTACACATGCCTCATCTACAGGAAGCTTTTTCCTTGTTTCCTTCACTATGCAGGTGCCTCCTTGCATCCTCTCAGCCACACATGGCACAGAGCCAATACCTCTGGCCTTTTTTAATCCCCCGCTCGACCCGCTGAGCTCGTGTCCACAGTAGAACAAGGCTCAACTCAGGCGACCTGCCACACTGACCACAGCGTGCCCAGTGTGATGCTGTAAGCCACCACCGCCACCAGGTAAACCCTGAAGAGCAGCACGTCCAGCACATAGCCCACCTGCAGCCACTCTTTTGCCACCTCCCGGCACCTGTCCCTCTTCTCCAGGAAGTGGCGTATGGCGGTCACCTCCTGCAGGATGTTATCCATGACAGGCGGGGTAGGGTCTCTGGAGGGTGGCAGGCCCAGTCGGAGCAGATCGCCCTCTCGTTCATGCTGGCTGAGCCGGCGTCCGATCTCACAGGTGTGGTGGATGGTGCACTGGGCTGCTGGGGGGGGAACAAAGACAGATGATGTTCTCAATCATCACTTTTGATTTTTTTAATCTTACTATTTTAGCTGCAGTTTAAAAAAAAAAGTAGTAGTTTCTGATTGGACGGTACACAGAATCACTGAATACACAGCAGCTCACTCAGCAGTGCAACAGAAGGTGTTTGGTAAATCTGACATTATTTTTACTGGCAGTAAAACCAAGAAAAGACTAAAATAGTTGTAGAGGAGAAATGTCACAAACTGAGGGCTACAACAGAAAAATCTATGGAATCGAATCTTGCAGATGGAGTTAATGATTACTATTGAAGCCCATAAATAAGGAGCCAAATGTTTGAAGGTATTGATTAATATTTGGGTGTCTTTAACCCTCCTCCTGTGTCAGGATCTACAGTGACCCGTTTTTTATTTTAAATGCTTTAAACAAGTTTTTGTTTTGCATCAAGACTTTTTGACTTTGTCAGGAATTTCTATTTCACCAAAATAAAAAATGTAATTGACTAAATTGTAAAATGCTCTTATCAAAATTATGGCACTTGTTGTGTTAGGGTCACTGTTGACCCGGTTAGATCAATATCTAATAATCAGAACAAAAACTGAAATCACAAGTGCCAGGCACCACACTGACAGTCAGATCCTCCTCCAATCATGTGAAATTTAGGAAATTCTCATTTTTCCATGTTTTTCCCTGCAAACAAAACTACGTCAGGCACATCCAGACATGTGAGACCAGTTCAGTATAGATATCTGTATGAGGGGTATACTAACAAAGAAAGGCCCAGAGGACCACAACAAAAAATATTATAAACAATATTTTCATGGATAATGAAACCTAACAAGGTAACATAGAGATGAGAACCAAATTGGATGATAGAGAATTATTTTTAGTATAATTTACAGCTGATTTAAGACACAGGTCAAAACCGACCCTTCACATGGGGGGTGCATAGTAAAAACGAACACAGGAGGAAGGTTAAGAAATTTTTAAAGAGTGGTCTAATCATACACAAATAAAAGTGGATTTATGACATTATTGATCATCTTTAGAGTTTGTAGTCTTACATTTAGGAGGAGTAAATCCCGGTAAAAGTAAACTGGCTATTTTGCTGGTGTCAAATAAAATCTAAAATCCTCTAAAATGTATTAAATATTAAACTTACTTATGAGAAATTTGATTTTATAGACTTAAAATTTGAGGCCACGGTCTGTTTTCTAAAAAGAACATCAATTTATGTACTTTTTTTGCTTATTTACGACAGAAAAGGCAGAAAAAGAAGAAAATGTAAAGTAACTTTATGTATGTAAATTAAAATCAAATTAACAGCACACTGCTAAAATAACTCTCTGCAGTTCTGGCAGCAGCTGTAAACATCTTACCAGTTCATTCACAGGTTTTTACACCCCTCACACTCAGTTCTGTACCTGCTCCGTAGTTGTTGTCTTTGTAGTGCTCCATATCAGAGGCCTGTGAGGACAGTCTGGAGCAGAGGCGGTGCTTTTTGTGGATGCAGAAGAGAACTGGAGCTCTTTCCAAAACCAAGTACTTCACCCAGTGGGGCACAGGAGGCTGCAGGTCCTGCTTGTGGACCAGACGGACAATCAGCACTGTTTCTGTGAGGCTGATCACCAGGAGGGCCATGCAGACCACAAAGTACACACCTACAGAGCAGGTAAGGAGAATTAGATCACCCCTGTGTTGTACCAAAATGACATGCTGAAACTCCTTGCAGATACTCTTTGAATGCAAACTGCAGATAAACAGTAAGAGAGCCAGGTCACCTATCAGCGGGGTTCCTATGGCGGTGGCGGGCAGAGTGTCAGACACAATAATGAGGAAGACGGAGTAGCCTAGCAGCAGAGTGATCTTGAAGGAAACTCTCTCTCCACTGTCAGGCGGCAAATAGAAACCCACGATGTCCATCACCATCAGGAAGATACTGGGAAGCAGCAGGTTCACCGTGTAGAATAACGGCCGACGCCGGATCACCACCTGAGAGGAATACACTCAGTTACAGTTTCTGCTGTGACACAGAGCGGGTTGTGGGTTGGTTAGGGTTTTGTAGGGACCACTAATGAGGATTTAGGCCTCTGTGTATCACCCTCACAACTAAATTACTAGATTAAAAAGTGTTCCCTCTTTGTTTATCATCATTGAAAGTAAATCTCTTCTTTAATAGTCGAGAGAAAGAAGCAAGATTCAGCCGGGGGTTGAGGGTTTTACAAAAATTCAAACTAAATATTTGAAGCTCCACATTTAGAGCAATTAAAAATAGTTAAGTTAACAACACAGTAAGTGCTATTATAGAAAAGCGTAAAATGATATCAAATAATCTAAAGGGAAATATATGAAAGTGAAAATTTTAGCTTACATTAAGTAAGAAAATGGATATGACAGTAAGATTTGAACATGCTAAATTTATTGGCTTTAGTCATTGAAGTTCACATCCATCCAGTTAGTTCTTATTTCTAAGCTATATGTTAAAATTAACCTTAATTATCAAGGGCTAAATATTTTGTTGTCAAATAAAATTGACCAAAATTGGCATTATTAATAATATGGATTGCTGTCTGAGATTAGAGAAGAGGTTGTAGCCGTTAAAGTAAGACCTGTTGAATCTTTGGTTTTTGCATTTATTCACATTTTTAAGGCCAGATAAAAATAAAAAATAAAAAAAGAAGCAGAAACCATTTTGATCTAAGTTTTATCCACGACTATTAACTCACAACTTAGTTTAATAGGGTGGACACATTTCCTTATTTATAGTCATATCTGCAGGTCAGTTGCCTTTTTTTGTCAGTTTTAACCCTAAAAATGATTAAACACTTACCATAGACATTTAAATACACTAATATTGATACTTAATTGATCTTTTCTCAGTGAGAGAGAAAAAGGTAAACTATAAAGATGAACAATATGTTAAGATTTAATAGAGGATGCACCTTCCTTCAAAGGTCTTAAATGTCTTCACTCACATGAAACTTCATCTCGGCGTAGTAGTCGTCATTGTCAACGCTGAAGCTCTTGTACTTGGACAGTATGTGAAGCAGCTCCCACTCGCCTTGGTTCATGAAGACACTTTTGTCTTCGCTCAGCTCCTCGGGGCTCCTCATCAGGGTGATGTTGATGTCATCGACTGCAGATCGAAACACGGTGTGGAGAACAGCGTGAAACCGCAGTAATAACAAGTTAACTATCACTCAGCACTCGGCTCTGTAAGCACGCTTCACAGCCGGGGAGAGTTCACAGATGCACAGACATGGTTTAGCTGCTCAACTGCTGAGAGGAAGAGTCAAAGAGGGAGTTTGATGTTTTCTTCTGACCTCTGTGTTTATTTTAAACAATTTTGATTCAGCAAAACCAACAACACTGGATATATCATCGTATTATTTTTTGTTCAGTCAGAAAACTCACACAAAACACACAAAAAAGAAGATCCATAATTAGTTCATTTTGACCTGGCAGTGAAGGTAAAAGTGCTTTGCATAGATTATAGTGTTGAGGAGTAAATGTCTGGATGTCAGGTTGATGCTGTCTTACTTGTATGAAGCCAGCTCTGGAAGGTGAGGCTGCACTTCTGCACGTCAAAAGGGAAGTTGTAGATGTTGAGCGTGCACGCTGTGACCACCTGGATGGGCTTGTAGTTTCGCACCAGCCCATCATGTGTCACATAGACGTAAGGTATGTCTGGAGACTTCCCCACGTCTACACTGCACGTTAGGAACAACAAGATAGTTTAATAATTTGATAAAAGGGACAGAGAGACAGACAGGGTGAAGACAGACCTGGGAGAGGAAAACCAGCAGGAAGCAAAGATAACAACAGGAAAAAGTTCTTACAACTCATTGATGAGGATGTCAGGCACCCAGACGTTCGCCGTGGGGATGGAAACCTGTTTGACTTCATCAAAATCTTCTGGGTTCCACACCAGGAACTCATCCGTCCAAGACTGAAAAGTGAAAAGAAACACAGAAAAAGCTCACTGTAGATCCTTAAAGCTGCTGAGAGTCAAATTTAGTTTGTAGAGGAATAAAACATCCTGATTAATTATCATTTTAATTCTCTAATTTACTACCCAGCCACCATCAGACTAAATCTTCTTCACTCTGGGACAGACTTTTGTTGAGTTTTTCTTACCTGTCTGTACCACACATAGGTTGTCAAAACCTGATTCTTTTCATCCTGTAGTGAAAACATCAGAAAAAAAATTATAGTTTGAATTAAAATTTACTTTTTTATTGTCCTTTTTTGTTCAACACTCATGCCAAAAACCTTAACTGCTTAAATTATGCTCATATACATCACTCAGGACATTTTTACATACTTCAGTAAAATTTAAGTTTTCAGTCAAAATAATGTATATGTAATGTTAATTCATCAATCAGTCGTTAGAAACCACCATAAATCTTTCTTTTTGGGGATTTTGCAGCACACATTTATCATTTTACGGTATAAAAATCCTCATAACAAGCATTTGAATTGGTGATAACTCATCCAAATTTGCAAAATCAGTTTCAGGCTCCCAATAATGTGCATTTCTGCTCACAGTCACTCTCTCAAGCTCACTGGGACATTAAAAAAGAGACTATTTCTAAGTTATAATACACTTGTTCTTTCTCAAGCCATTTAACAAAACAACAACAAAGGACATGAGGGCATTTCTCAATCCTGTGGCTGTGTCTCTTTTTCAGGTTGCACATTTTCAAATTAATGTTGTTTTAATCAAATTACCATACATTAAACCTGAGGTCAAACTGCATTTCCTAGCATGAGGACAGAGTCTGCAGCTGTGTTTTTACCATGGGGCTGAAGCATGCTTATCCCTGAGTGAATATGAGGTTAATTTGAAGTGTTACAAATTAAATCTAACAGAGCTTTAATCAGATTTGCACGTTTGTGTGTGTGTGTGTACTGCAGAGATAATCACTTAGATATAATTAGAGATACAAGATAACTCCAAAGTAGCCATGACACACACAGAGCAGATGATCTTAGCGTAATAACAGGGTACGTCTTGATGATATAAGTGACACTCTGGATGTGTAGGTGAAATAACTCACCACGTTGAGGATGGAGTACACCATGAGGTCTATGGCCACGATGGTGGACGTCCTCCAGTCCTTCACAGGTCTCACTCCCTTCTTATATCCCGCACTTAGAAACTCAGACAGACGCACTAAAGTGGCGTTGGCGAATCTTCCTGAGTTGCTGCTCAGCTTCTTCACTGAAAAATGATCAAAATGATTCTGTTTATGTGCAGATGAAGACTTTCAATGGTGACATAACTAACAAAAAACACTCATCTAACATAAACATAGAAGTGTCACAAAGATTTTTAGTTTTATCTGCCATCTAAATAAACTCCTATATAACCTGTTTGCCTGTTAACAGTTTTCAAAAACACAAATTAATATCTTTTTAAAGAAAACTCAAATTGGATGGGCTGTTTGAACCAAATCACAAAAGAAAAAACAAAGTCAAATTGAATGATAAGTTAGTTTGAAATCAGATGTTGTTGTATGACGGTATCTAATTCAGTTTTACTTCAGTACTGTGCTGCTGCAACTGTGTTGAATTTTAGTCCTAAAACACTAAGATATTTTTTTTCTTTACTTATTTAAAAGACAAACTGGTCATATAAAGATTTATTATTTTTTACTGTCTTATTTTATTTATTTCAGGAGAATTTTGTACAAATATTTTTGTAAAAAAAAATCTAACAAAACAGAATTCATCGGCTATGTTTGAAGCTTTGGATCTTATACCTAAAGCAGTAACAACATTTTTTTGTTCTTTTACTTTATTTTATTTTATTTTATTTTTTTTATTTTCCACAAACAGATGATTTCATAAGATGGAAATCGAAATAATGCGTCAGGAGAGATCAAGAAGGCGACAGGCTTATTTTTTCAACATTAAATCGCAAAACGATAATAAAAAATAATAATAATGATAATAACATGATCCCATATTAAAAAGATAAGAGAGAAGCAAATATCTATCAAAATCAAAAAACGTGGTACAGTGTTGAAGAAAAAGCAAAGGTGTAATAAAATATGGGACTTCATGAACTTGATTTGATAACAATGTACTTTTAAAAATTTAACGTCTTTTTGCGCTCACTGATTTCTACAGGGATTTCTAAAATCTTGGTCATTGTTTGAAAATTATCAACACATAATAATCTTTGATTTGTGGCCCCTCTCATGACTGAAGTTAAAATAAAATATCGAAATAATTTTCTTAATTTATCTAAAGCCTGAAAAAAAGATTGATAAGAAAAGCATGTAAGTCTGATTTGGTAAAAAGTTTGTCTGTGTGAAAATCTTGATAGATCAGTTGTGCCTTCTCTTTCCCAGAGTAGAAATAAGGCTGTAAAAGACTCAAATTAAAGTGTAATAAGTTTAGCGTCATATAATGTAAAATATAAGTAGCTGTACCTGTGCAGGCTCTGGATGCTCCCTGAACAAGCAGGAATAAAAGTGTCGTCCAGGCTGTAGAGGGTCTCATGGTGACAGTTCACCTGTGTTTCCTCCTCTACCTGTGACAGTCGGTCTGCTGCTCTGACTAGATCCACCAAATGCCTGAAACCCATATCCTCCATATCCATCACTTCACCCTTTACCTCCATCAAAACCTTGTTAGTGTCACTCAGCTCACAGGGATGTATCACTCGCTCTGATGCCACCCCTCCCTGTTCAATAAAGCGGCAGCTCAGGGAGATAAATGAGCTGAGAGAGAGCTGAAATTCAAGCCGGGGATGAAGTGATGCTCCAACACCAGGCTTTGATTCACAACACTGGAGAGACTGTTGACTTCAAAGTTTCAGCATTTCATGTCCTCTATCTCACACAAGCTCGACCACGACCTCCTTTACTTACTTCGAAGCTCCTTTGAGGAGTCTTTACAGATGTAGACTGAAACTTAAACTAGCCCTTTAATGCCTTTTGTATCATATTTGATACATACTTTTATCTACTTCTATAAAATCAATATGATCAACAAATTACTAAAAAAAACACCTGAATACAGTCTGATAAATGATAAAAATGTCCTCTTGTAGTTTATCATTTTCCAAAAACATCTAATGTATCAAACAAGATAAATAAATATATTTGTTCAATTTTAAGAACATTTAGATTTTTTTAGTTTTCAGTAGTAAGTGAAATAAACACTTCAGCTCTAAATAATTTAAAATTTTGTGGCCGTACTTTGTGGTGTCAAGCATTAAAGGGCCAGTGCAAACTTTGTATTGTTATTTTTATATCTAAAACGGATGCGAGAGCGTCAGCTAAGCAGCTAAATAAACTGTGATTATCAATATATATATATAATTTTTACATTGTTATTCACATTTAATGAGACATTTAACTGTCAAAAGTCTGAAATTTTGACATCTTCACTACTGAAGAGGAAAAAATGAGCAGATTTGTCCAAAGGGGGTGCCAAAGTTGACGCAACCTAAAAAAGTTCCTTACAGGAGCTTTAATTTTTTGTGCATTGAGATTCAAAAATTGTAATTTGAAGGCTGCCATTTTGAAAAGGAAGTCATGCTTTCCAAAAATGACCCAATGTATAAATGGAGCTTTTTCATGTTGTTAAATATCTATTTTTATCCTAAATTAATAATGACTTATTTGCAACAAAGCTTGAATCATACAAAATAAGTGTAAAACCCTCAAACACAGTCACTGCCCCCTTATAAATGCTCTTTAGAAATCCATTTTCTAATAACAAGCTGAAATTTATGTCTATCAGTGCTTCTGAAATAAGAACAGGCAGGTTTTCAGCCAGTTTGATGACTCAGAAACTTTTATTTCCACTTCAAGCATCAACTATTTTACAATGATAACTTACTTGCTCTGCCTTTACTCCAAAAGAACGGGTGAAATCATCGTGAGATTTCATTTATATCCTCAACAAAGCCTGAGCAAAGCTTCAGCTACACACACACACACACAGAGCCATTAGTTAGCTCACACAGACTGTAACAAAGCACGCACTTCACATTTATCTTCAGCTCTGTTGCATAACTACTTGTAATCAGATCCACTAGAAGAGGAGGTTTGCTGATACTGTGAAAATTGCATTAATATGGATCTTTCCAGCAGCAGGTTTTCTGTGAAGTGCTCTTGATATTCTCATCATGACTGTTAGGGAACCATCAGGGAATAGGGACGCAGCAGCTGAGCTCTGAATGGGTTTTATTGATCTCCTTTGTGGCAGTGAGATGGAAATTGAAACATGAATACAGTATCATAACATCACACAGGCACTGAGGAATTTCTCCAGAGAGCTGATATATTATACACAGACACTGAGTAAATCCTCACTGTCAGGAAACTTAACAGACCCAATGCAATAATGTCTCTGTCAAAATATGATGTTGCCATTACAAGGGAGGTGCATTATCCGGAGCTTATGCAAACAGAATATTTCCTGGTTTTTGGGCAGCTTGGATTCAAGTCTCTTAATTCTCTTTAATCTGAATTAACAAATCACGGTTCAGTCTATGATATAGGAATAATGAGACACAACAGAGAGGGAGTTTGATGGGAAAAGAGAAAAAGAATAAAGGTTGTAAACTCCCAGTCAAATTATTACACACCTTTTTTAATGACCATTTTGTTTTTTTTAGCTTTACCACAAAATTATGTAAATTATATCAAAATAGGGTGTCGAGAAAACGAAGCTAATGCAAAAGAGCCAAAATAGCAGTTCCTCAAAGTTTCCACTTAGACTCCATTTACACCCATGATAAAATACCCATTTACACAACAAAAACTTCACACAGCTTCGTACAAAAATGTTTTGGTTTTCACATTTTATTTCTTAATTTGTAACCCAGCTTTGTGAGATATAAAAACTTCGACCTCAGCTCATCCCTACCTTGCAGAAGTTAGATGCAGTCAGCATTTCCAATTTCCCTTCAGCTTAGCTTTGGGCTCAACGTCTTTGTCCTGCTTCTTTTCTATCACTGAGCTGTTACTCTGTGTCCTTTGGGCCTTTGTACCAGGTGGTTTAAACTACCATGACAGCTTAGATCTCGAGCAAGTCTACACTCCATCCTAGATTTGATGTCAGCAAAAAGGTTCAGAGGATCCTGTTACAGACCGACCAAAGGGGCTGATTTTTTTGTAAAACTTCAAACCTGTGCAGATGAAAAACACAAATCAACTACTCCATTTTACATCTTTTAGACTCAGTCATAACGTCTTTATGTCTTTTCTATCACACGATGTACAGGATTATCGTTAGACTAATCGTTAGACCCTAAATGAATACAAGCACAAGGTTATAGATATTTGAACTGACCACAATATTACAAAAAGTGCAGTTTCATAATTAGAAGTATAAGAGGAGGATCAGTAAGCCAATAATGAGTGATTATATTCTGCAAACCTAATGCTACATGTTTTATTTGTCTACGTATTGATTTTCAGTTTCAATGTGACGTCAAATCACTGGCAATATGTTGAACACCTTAATCAAGAATTGCTCTGAGTCACAGGGTTAAAAATAATCCCATTATGTCTTCATTTGTTTGTTCAGGCGAAGCTCCAGCTGGCCCAGAGCAGCAGCAGAGTGCTGGCGTACAGCGTCAGGACAAAGAGGTAAAAGCGGAACAAAAAGAGGTCGAGTTTAGAGCAGAGAGCCAGCCAGTCAGCCTGAGCTGAAGACTCACTGTCCTCCTCTGAGAAGGCCAAGCGGAGGGAGACCAACTCCTGGAGAAGCCACTCCAGACCAGAAGGAGCCTCCTGGATCTCATTCAGGGACAGCAGATCCTCCTCCAGAGAGGGCTCAAGCTCATAATCTGCAGGGAGACGAAAGAATCTGGTTTTACTTTATGGAGATTTATGCAGTTTTTTAAAAAAGATTACAGCAATTCAAACAAAGCTTACAGCTGGCTAAACGTGATCAAACCTTTTAAGACTAATTCTCACGGCCAGTGTGAGTTATCCTTTTTTCCCCAGCACGTGCAGCTAAAAAACAGTCCCTCCACATCAGTAGCTATGGAAATGTTCAGCCCTGGCTCATAAATTTTGGTGCATGTGTCTCACCTCCTGAGGGGTTGATGAATTCGAGGGTTTTTAGAGACGTTAAAGCGCTCTCTGTGAACTCCTGACCGGCTGAGCTGTACTTGTCCAGCAGGCAGGCTGATACTGAGAACTGCTTGACCTCCTTCTCACTGTGGTGGAGAAGCTTCACCACCAGTATGGACTTGATCAAACTGAGCATCAACATAGCCATGCACACGGCAAAGAACACACCTGTATGGAAACAGGAGAGGAAAAACTGTTAACAGGGACGACCTCCAACATTTAATCCCCAAACCATTCAACAAAGTTTTCCTTGGACAGATGAATGGATTTTCTTTTATACCAGTCACTGCATAAGGTTTAATCTTACAGCAACCTCTCATATTACAATATTACTGCAGTTCACTGAATGTCCACTTGAGGCTGGCTCCAAAACTCCAAATATTGCAGAAATTTGGCAGGTTTACAGCCTGGTATGCAGAAAATTTCTATAATTGTGCACACTGTATTGGGAGTGAATTATATTATTGTATAACTCCTTTATTTTGAAGCCATTAAAGGGATATTCCGGCGTAAAATTAAGTTAGGGTCAAACACACCGTTACACTGAGTTAGACACCCCCTCGAGAGATGAATGTTGCCAAATGTTTGCTTCTCTAGTTATACCAACTTTAGTAACGACCGCAGGATATCAATACACAGTGGCCTACGTCTCTACACGAAAACTTTTTTTTACTTTTGCCTGGTTTCTTTAGCTCTCCTCCAGCAGCCGCTTGTATATGGAAGTGTAGCGGATCATTTCCTTGAGGTAATAATCTTCATTTTAAATTATTTTACACTGCAGACGCGGTAGTTCTTCTGCCTTAGCGTCTCGGTCTGATTGCATTTCCATAAAGAAATGATCATAAATGTTCTTCCTTGAGCTGCGAAACTCCGCTGCACATGGTGATCGACTCATCGGGGCTCCCCCCACAAATAAGTGGTTGCTGGAGGAGAGTGGGTGAGTTGTGTTTGGTCTCTTTGCTAAAGAAATCAGGCAAAGCTTCAAAGAGACCGCTGTGTATTGCTATTGTGCGGTCATTACTAAAGTTGAAATGAATAAAAAAGCAAGCAGTCAGCAACATTTGTCTCTCGAGGGAGTGTCTAGGAATATCCCTTTTAAGGGTACAAGTTTTGCATGATCAGACAAAGTAAACTAGCAAATGGGTTAGCACATTATTATGATCTGGGAGGTTAAAGGCCCATCTTATCTCTGACTCTTTGCCTCTTGCTGTGTAGGATGACTCAAGTTTTCCAATATGATGACTGCCATGTTGGAAACTAGGGGGTGACATCACTGAGACGATTGGTTTTAAAGAGATGGACAAAAATTTAGATGTCAAAGCTCATAAATAACCAATTTAAGTCTAATCTAAAGGAATTAAATGGTAAGATATTCTGAAACTATAGACATTAAAAATTACATAAAAGTATCTGACCTATGAGCGGAGTTCTGACTGCAGTGGAGGGCAACTCATCGGTCAGGTTGACCCTGAAGACCGTGTAACCCAGCAGGATACTGATCTTAAAGGCAATGCGAGTTCCACTGTTCAGAGGCAGGTAGAAACTGATGACATCCACCAGCATGAGGAAGATACTGGGGATGAGGAGACCCACCACATACAGCAGGGGGCGCCGACGGATCAACACCTGGGCGACAGAGGGCTGAGATTTAACAACTGGAGTAATGACAATAATTTAACCGAATGTTGCAGAATATGTTCAACTCTAAACCATGCATGTGTGCTTTTGCATCCAATTCAGTTACATTCAGGTTCACATGTATGATTAACACTTTTTTCGGCTTCCAGGGTTTGTGCTATGTTTCCACAACTGAACTTTCCAACGGACAAAAAAGTTTGTTTAAATTTAAATGTGAGTATCGATATGTATTCCTTTCTTTTCATACTTTAAGAGCTGTTCATAAATAAGGTTTTTCTCATTTCTTTAACTTAAATCTGGTTCCAGGTCAAGTATGAGGGCATTTGGCTAGAGAAACTCAACAATAATTCTCATATTGCTTAATTTATGTGTAATTTTATTTTATTTTTTTGTCTTTTGTTCATTCCTGTTGGATTTTTAGTGATTGATTGATTGATTGATTGATTATCTTTGCTCCCAAATATCTTTCAAAAGTTCTTTTATTTGTCTAAATTTACCAGAAGAGGAATTATTAGGTCTTTCCATCTTACGTTTCTACATTCAGAAATAAAGTGGCCACAGTGTAACAATATCTCAGAGAGCCCTGAAACCCTCCGTCACCAAAAAGCCCCCTGTCTCTCTCTTTGAGCTGAATAAATAGCAGCTCTCCACCTGCAATGGGCTATGGAGCCATTTTCCTCCCCTCTAACAAGAAGTCCATTGATCAGGCAGCCGCTGAGACAGGCTCATTATGGTTGCTCACCCTCCCCTGTCTATCAGCCTCCCTCTCTATCTGTGTCTTTACTTGCCAGAAACAGCCTCAGTCTCATCATTTGGCATTAGCTCACTAGCCCCGATCCATGAAGGTCGCGGCCAATTGCTTAACACTTTGCAATCCTGCTGCACAGAGTGAGGAGGGGTGAGGAAGAGGAGGGAGAGAGAGAGGGACCGGGAGGGGGTCTAACCCACAGAGAGCTACAGTTTAAAGCTCACCATCAATAAGCAATCACAGACATCACTGTGCACTTACTGGCTCACTTGTTATGGAGCCTTTAGACATCCAAAATACTGACACCATATAAAGTTACAGCTTTTACAAACAGTCGTGTCTCTTTAGCTTTCATTAGAATTATTTCATCTGGATTACACTGCATGAATTACCATGCTGAGGACATTAAAGTACGCACATTGAACTGGATTTGTGCATAGTCAGTGTCGTCCTGGTGGATCTGCCAGTAGCGGGAGGGCACTGACAATAGCTCCCATTCTCCGTCATTCATGAACTCCTTCTGATCATTAGCGATGGCCTCTGCACTCCTCAACAGAGCCAGGTCTATTTCCTTCACTGCAGAGGGAGAGAGAGAGAGAGCGAGAGAGTGAGAGAATGACATAAAAAGAGATGGTGGGTGGAGGACAATAAAAGAGAAGAGTAAATGTGTTTATCACTTTGGCCTCAGTGTGGGCACAGCTCAGAGACTGAGTGCTTTCAATTCCTCAGAGCTGTTTCTGTTTTCATATATTGTCTTAATGCTTCAAACAGTCTTATACATGCAGTGTCCGCAATGTTTTTCATGCTGGTATGACTTAAACTGAGATCTGGGGGAATGTGTGGGCTGGTTTTTTGATACTTTATTTTTCAGATCAGTCTGGTTATCCTCCTTTTAAGATATATTTTGGTCTGACATGAATCAGACACTGGTCCATTACACCAGTTGAACCTGGAGTTATAGCAACGAATCAGAAGGTTAAACTTGCTGAGAGGAACTTTTGGTTTCTGGAACTAACAAAGTCCAAAAATTTGAACTGCAAGGATAGACAGCAATTTAATGAAACAGACTCGCCAACATTATAGGTGAGACCTCTCTAGAAATGATCACCAGGTGACCAGTGCTTACTGCTCCTTCACACATTTTTGAGAGCATTATTCAATTAGTTCTTGAAACCAAGTGGACAGCGTTTTTTCTTGTGGGTGCTGCTGGTGGAAAAAACAAACGGCTAATTAAAGAAGTCACCTTGAGCTTAGGAGACATGGGATTACCATTAACTCACATATTTGACATTTTATGGACAAAGTAATTAGTTAGTTAACTTAGCAAAGTGATTGGCAGACTAATCTGTAATTGTAGTCTCCTGTCTCTGATCACACTTAGTCTCCTCTCATTGATTTTGGTCTCAGTCGATGGATTGGCATGTTCACAGGTTGACTGACTGACTGTCTAGTTTCTGGGTTTTTTTCTTGTCCGATGGATCATGTTGTGTGTGCAAAGCTTAAGAGTGTACTTGATGTGTTGACTTGGAAACACATTGAGCCCAACATTTGAGTACATGAGGAGTCTCCGCGCACAAATGGTTCCAGTTCATCATAAAACTGAGAAACCTCAATTTTCTGATGTTGCTATTAAGTTCACCCTATGTTCAATGTTTTGCAAAGCTTATTTTAGGTTTTGAAGGCTTGAAGATAAGTGAGTGGCACCAAGATTGAACAATAAATGTAGACAAAAGAAGTTGGTTTGAGACCTGAGTGAAGCCAGCTGCGGAAGGTGAGGCTGCAGTTCTGTTTGTCAAATGGAAAGGCGTACATCTCCAGGCTGCAGGCCAGAACCACCTGCATGGGCCGGTTGTTCTTCACTGATCCAGAAGAGTTGACATAGACATATGGGATCGAGGGGGACTTCCCTTCATCCACACTGTGGAAACAGAAAGTGAGATAAGAAGGAAAGATGAGATATGGACAACAGAGTAAGACACGGAAACAGACTTACTTTTTAAGCTCCTATGAGGAACTTTCTGTTTGTGTCAATGTTGGCGCCCCCCTGTGGACAGAGCAGTCTCTGTTTAAGTTGTCCTCTACATGCTAAAACATGGTTTTTAACTAGGGTGACCATGCGTCCTCTTTTACCCGGACATGTTCTCTTTTTGGGGGGCTGTGTGGGTTCGTCCGGCTTTGTCCGGGGAAGTTTATAAAATCCTTCAAATGTCCGAGGTTTTGTATGTAAGTTTCGATTTTGTGTCATGTGGACTTACTGAGTTAGTAGCGCGTAAAAGACTCCGTGACTCCGCCCCCACATAGTCGTGTCCTCTTTTTGGGAAGTCAGAATATGGTCACCCTATTTTAACAGTAAAGTATTATTCACTGTGAATTTTTTATGTGTAAATTGTAAAAAAAGACCATTTCCTCAGCTGCTCGGCTGATACCTAACATTTTGCAACGGTTAAAGATTTTAAAATTATGATGAAACAATCATCAGCCCTATTCCTGATGGTCTTGTACATATAAAGGCATCAACATGACTGTCAGTCTTTCAATAATAGTTTAATAAATAAAATAAAAATACCCTCACAGGAGCTTTAAAATGACCTCTGTTAAGACCTACTGCAACTATTTGGTGCTTCTAATGCTATGAATGGTCTCAATTACATGTACATTAACTCTGAATGAGTTCAAGTTAGACCAGGATGTGCTGCTGTGAATGGATGTAATAAGAAAGTAAGAGGCAGGATATAACAACTTCTTAAATAACTATTTATAACTCACGTAATTACTTAAATGCCCCAAGCTCATGCTATCACCTTTCTAGCTTTACATGAATTATCATGTAGATCACGTATCATAATATTGCATGACTGCTGTGTTGTGATTTAATCCTCCCTAAGGCCCTCGGGTTCCAGTCACTCATTGAAGACTGTTCTTGTCATTATCTCACAAAGACTTGTTTCACAGTGAACAATTGACAAAAATGCACTAGTTTGCCAGCTGCTAAGACCGCCCAATCAATAACCATAGCCAGTCTTTGAACAGCTTTGTGCAAGCTCACATTGTATCTCTGTTAATCTTAATTTAGCAAATGATTTCCTTCAAGATCCAAAATTTGTTGCACACTAAATTGTAAAACAAAATATGTGTTAAGCAGTGAGCACGCAATACTGCTGCCTTTGTGCTCTTCTTCTGACTTTTAGGGGCAGATTTTAAACATCTCATCACATAGTTTTATCTCAAATATGTTGTAAGTTTAGATTTAAAAAGTTCAACAGTGAAATCAGGCTTTAGATTTCTGGATTCTGATGAAGTTTTTTTTTATCCCATAAGTCAAATTGAGAAGCTTTATATTTGTCTTCTTGCTGCTGTGGTTTACAGATTAGTGCTTTGACCACAATGTGAACATTTGCCCTGAACCCAAGTCTCTTTAAAACTGGTTTTCTAAGATCGTGGTAATGAAAAACATAGAGTTTCTTGACTGTTACATATCTGTTCAAATCCTTTCTTACAACTCACTGACGATAACATCAGGAATCCAGATGGCATCAGAGGACAGGGAGATCTCAGTGATGCCATCGAACTCTTCTGGATCCCAAACCAGGAACTCATCTGTCCAGACCTGGAGAAGAGCAGAGACGTTTCCAAGAGTTATGAGGTATATAATAATTATTTTTCAATGTCAAATGTTTATTGAGGAATAGGAAAAGAAGCATAGAGTGAATGAGACGGTCCCTACCTGTCTGTACCAAATATTGGTAGTCATGCTCTGGGTCTTTCCATCCTATTTAACAACAAAAAAAATGTATAGCTGTTGTTTTTCATCCACATAACTACTCTGCAGTCTAGTTTGAGTCATTTCACATCAGTGTCCAGTCAAACATACCACATCAAGTACAGACTGCAGGATGAGGTCAATGTGGATGGTGGTGTGACTGGTCCAGTTGTGAACGGGGCGGACTCCACAGTCGTATGTCCTAAGGAGGGTCCTGGTCAGCTGGTTCAGGGCTGATCGCTTCGGCTTCTCTGGCACACATTCAGCCAGATAAACTGGAAGGGAGAGGTAGATTGTAAATGGTGAACTACATCGAAGAGATACTCAAAAGTAACTTCATTAAATGTAGCAACTGTCTCTTAATTAGCCTCTAAAATTGTATGTATTATGAAATTTTGCCTTTGGTCTCTGAAACCAAAACTCAAAGAATGTGCATAAATATAAGTCTATTTGAGCAATAGTATGAAGAGTGACATAGATATTGGATGAGAAAGGTTCAGGTGGGGTAGTAGGACCCTTAAATTAGATTTTATCCCCTCACCACCTCCTCATTTTCTTCACCCCTGTAAATAATTAGATATTGGAAGTGCTCATCATTTGTGTCATATTCTCTGACAGTAACCCTGTGGTTTTTATGCACATTAGTAAAGGCAGGTCCCAAAGAAAAATGGATAATTCTATTATCAGTCAGGATTTTGGGAAAATACACACGTGCGCAACAATATATTATATTTATACATTAATATCAATCTATTCCTTGGAACTTTGTATTCACAGTCTGTGTAAGGTGTTAATTCTGTTATCTGACACTTTTTTAGACCAACAGAACCCAAGAAAATTAACTCTTTTAGTCGAATTTGGTTTGCCCCCCCCAAAAAAAAAACTCAAACACATGCTGATGGTTTCTCAAAAACGCAACTTTTGAAATTAAGTATGAATATATTTATTTACAAACATTTGTCGAGCCACATGAAATTTGACAAAAAATGTGATTGTCTAACAATTGTAAGTGAACACATGCATGATTCGGTCCCACTGCATTGATGGATCTATCTGTAAACCTAAAGGTAGTCACTGAAGTTGGACTCAAATTTCACCATCAAACCCATTTAATCTCTTCAAGTAAGCTTCAACTTGAACATAAATGTTTCAAATCAGAAACACAAAATGAGAGTTCTTACCTGAGAACAAAAGCATCAGCCAGGTGACATCCATCATGCTAAATATCAACCTTCAGATTAAAAGCAATTGCCAGGTGTATCATCAAAAATAATCCCCTTTTCTTCACCAAAATATCCTCACTTTTACAATAAAACTTCAAGAGCAGTCATTCTCTGTGTAGTAGAAGAGCAGTGAGCAGGGTAGCGCAGACATTTTGGATTCACATATTGATTTTTCACTCCTCGGGTAAGGTGATACAGGCAATAATAAAGCAGGCTGGAGATTAGTCTCCCTGTAGATTTGGTCAGTGCTCGTGTGTTGTGTCATTACAGAAGAATGAGAAATTATCCTGACTGAACTAACGCTGTGCTGCACCATTTCCTTTTTTATTTTATTTCATTTTTTTGCTGATTTAAAGTAAGTGAACTTTTCTCATTGTCCTAGCCTTTTTTGGGCATTGGAGCTCCTCGAAGAAAGAGACTTGACTACTTAACAGTTTTACTACTAAAAATGTGTTGATGTAAAACTGAATTTGAGAAGCACAGGACAATTGACTTATTTTTAAAAATCCTTTTGGTTTACTTTTAAAACCATATCTTTTAAAAAATTATATTCAAACAGATGCAAACAGTGGTCAGCAAGAAATACTTTTAGCCTATATTCTTTTTCACTACTACTACTACTAATAATAATAATTATTATTATTATTATTAGTAGTAGTAGTAGTAGTAGTAGTAGTAGTATTATTGGAAGTAAATCTATGCCATCTGATTTTGAATTTGAATTTCTAAAGCTGAATATTTTTTGCATCAAAAGCTGACTTTGAATTTCAAAACCATCGAATTTTAAGCACGCATTTTTATTTTTTACACCTATTTTTTTTTTTCACACTGATGAGATAAATTCAGTGTAAAAAAAAATCGGTCTCTCAAAAAATTAGTGTAATAAAAATCAGACTTTAAAAAAAGCTGTGTAAAAACAAATTCAACACAAAAAAAATTCAGTGTCAAAAAATTTTGTGTAAAAGAGACCGACTCAACATCTGGGCAATCAGGGAGAAGCAATCGATTCCTCAGTCTTCCATTGGGTTCGGTGCCACATGACCAATTGGTATTAATTGAATTGCTGAACGATGGGTGACTGAGCCAGGAATCGACTGCTCTCCCTGGTTACCCGGATGTTGAGTCGGTCTGTTCTACATTGAATTTTTTTTTAAGTTGAATCTTTTTTACACAGTTTTTTTAAGTTGAATTTTAACTGAACAAATCTTTTGAGATACCGATTTTTTTACACTGAATTTATTTCATCATTGTGAGAAAAGTGTCAGAAATAAAAAAGGAATGCTTGAAATTCAATAGTTTCGAAATTCAAAATCTGATTTTGATGCAAAAAAAATCAGCTTTAAAAGTTAATTTCAAAATCAGATGGCACAGATTTACTTCCATAGTTGACAACAGCTTCATTTAAACTATAAGAGTTGTTGAAATGTTGGTTTTTCCAGTAATTAAAAGTAGTATTTGTCAACCAATAAAGCTGTATTCACCCACTTGTATCTGAGACCTGCTGTCAAACCACTCGGGTAAAGGTCGACGTGATTTAAACTCGTCCCGGAAGCACGAGAGATTTCATTACATCAATAACTGTCTGCTCGGGCGCGCGCGCTGCGTCGTTCTTGCTGCCGCGCATGTCATGACAGGTGAACGCGCGCAGCTGCCTGGTCGCTCTCGGGGGGCTTGACAGATGGAGTTGGTTTGACTCGAAGTCAGAGCCAATAAGACATTTGGGAAATTAGGAAGAAATTCAGGTTTTTAATCTGCAATGAGAGGTGAACAGACCGAAAATGGACAAAACTCCACGAACTCGGTGAGGATGAAAAGCATGATGGGGCTGCTATTAACATGACAAGTAACATGTTTGTGAAGAAATGCCTGAGAAACTAACTTTGACACTAACCCCTTTGTGCTCTGAATGACAAATCTGTGCTCAAAATACCCGATTTTAAACTTCACTTGTTGGTGTTTTCTTGTTAATACAGAAGGGAAATGATCCTATCCTATGCCCACTGAAATACTGATATACCTAAATTTATTTTTAGCCTTTAAAACAACATTTTTAGCCAGTTTTCTTTCATTTATTCGTTTATTTATTTATATAAACGTGTTAAAAAATAATAAAATGCAATATAGGCTACTGGAGGGTAGATGCAATTTAAGCAATACCAGCATACTTTCTGAGATGTGTCCAGGTTCATGTTTGAAAGGGTAAAGTGAAGAATTTCCCAATACTGAATATTGAAAATTACCCGGCAAACTTTAACCTCATTACTCCTGAGTGTAAAAGTAACACAACTCAGTATTTCAATCCTCAGCCTTCTAGATTATACATATCTTTTTCTGCAGACCTTTCGTACTAACTTTACCAGAAAACATCTCCAGATCTCCAAGTAAAGGTTTCTGTAAAGTAGAAACTATGTATGTTTACATTTTTGTGAGAAAATTTATGTTTGCCTCTGTGTTCAGTTCAGGATTGACAAGGGAGGGGTGTGTATGTGCTTGGGAGAAAAGGGGAGAGAGAGAGAGAGAGACACCCAGTGCCTTTGTCGTTCAGTTCTGGTGGCGTGGTGAGTGGAATGATAAACAGAGGCCTGAGCTATCCATGTCAGTAGACTAAAATAGAGGCGAACCAAGGGGTCTCAGATAGCCCCTGGACTCCATATAAGTCTGGTCAGCCTGCTCTTGGCCTCTTGTGTGTGAGTGTACATGTGTGTGTCAGAGAGAGATATCCTGACTGTCCACCTGCTGTTGGGGAAGCAGGCTTAATATAGCGCCTCTCATTCAGCAGCCCTGTGTTATTTCTTCATGTCTCTGTCAGTGAAGTCAAAACATATGACGGGCTGTGAGAGTTTGTGTTTAGAAATGGTATGAACGTGGAGTACGTGAGGTTGGCATGAGGTGGCATACAATTATTTCAATAAATCCCCAGAGCATATATCCTAAAGGAGGTAGATGATTCAACATGTAACCACCATACCTCATATAAATATAAATTTAGCAGGCATTCAAAAAAGGTAAAAACTGTCATCCTGCATTGTGGAAGAAAATCTTTCCATTAAAATATGGAAAGGATTGCTGTATTGTGGTTTTACTGTTATGATATGTATTGGGTATAGGGTAGGAATTGAAAAGGTGCCCAAGATTGACCCAATTTACAACCATAAACAGAGGTCACCTGACACAGTCTTGGATATATAGATTTAGGTCTGACTCCGTAGACGTGCTTTTGAGCTGCACCAAAGTTGAGGAGTTTTGCACCATGATCCACACCAATATCAGGAAAATTATTGGATGTTTTATCTGGATGATCCCCTCCATTTTAACAAACCAAGACCCACACTGCTGCCAGGTTGAATCCAGACAGTCCTCATGTTAGGGACCAAAGAATGAAAAGTCTCCTCGTCTGCACCAGCACCATCCAAGTGGCACCATTCTCTTGGCCAGCTGGCTGCTGCAGGACAGTTATCATATCAGTTAAGGTGGAGGAGTATTATTAGAAATGGGGGCAGCCAGCAACGCTCGTTTTTAACACCAGTTTGTTGTTGTTTCCATAGCACACGGAAGATTTTTTGTCTTCTCTGTGGTCAGGCATGTCTTTAGAATTGTCTTATTTTTTTATGTCCACTTGATTTTGTCACCTTGTACTCATTCTGAATAATCAATTTTAAGTCATAAAAAACATTGCTGCTCTGGTTGAATATCCAGCTGGATAGCTTAGCTTTGCAGCAAGACTTGAAACAGGCAGGATGAGTCACTCATTGTCCTCCTAATTCAGATAAAAAAAAGAGGTGTAAATGTTCTCATTTGCAGTTTCATGGCATATTATGAGCTGGATTGTTGTGTCGGGTCAATATTTTCTTGGAGTGTCTCCTCGCTGCTTGGCAGTCTGCCCCCAGGAATGCCACACAGACTGAGCAGAGATAATTCTCTTCTCAGGATCGAGATAAGAAGGCATGATTTTGGCTCCGTCCAAGTCATTACACTGACCCAGCTAACATGTAGACCACAAGGTCATTGGCACAGCATGCTGTCACTTGGACATTTGTCCTTCAGTTCCAGATATACCCATGCGGTTCACAGGCTAAAAGCGAGGCCCTGAGAAAGCCGTGAACTATTATCATCAGGTGACGCATAGACGCCTGTTTCCAACGCTTCATTGTGGGGCAAAGTGGACTTCAGGACACTTCATCAGATGTGTAAGGAGGTTAATTGGCAGGTACACCACAGCTTCAAAGGTGGCTGGATTAAATATACAAAAGGAAACGTGTCGAAATACTCAACATAGAGCCCAACCAAGTTTCAGTTTTAGCCATCTTGGAGTGAGTGACCCATCACTCCTGTGAGCTGAATAATTGTTCAGTGGATCTAAAGCTAAACTGTGTTTTTGTCTTTTCAGCAGAATGAGATGCTGATCAACCAGCTGAAGGAGATCACTGGCATCCATGACACGCAAATCCTCTACAAAGCCTTGAATGTAAGAACTAAGGACTTATTATAACCTAATGGTGATGCTGCCATGAACAACAGTCGTGGTTATACTGGTGTAAAAATGACAGTCAAACCTTAAAGTTGCTTTATGAGCTTTAGAAGTACATGAAATCTTAACGTTGTTTGGTGACTCACACTTTCAGAGCTTTTAATGTTGCAACCTTGAACATGTATTATTTACAATTTCCCCATTAGAATGTGTTTTCTGTCTGAAAGTATGTCTCGAAGTCCATCACCAGAGCCATGCTGCTTGTTAGCTGAAAAAAAAAACACAGCCATTACTATTCCTGAAGAGTAATTAATGTTTAAAAAACTCTATTTACTTTCATTAAAGCTCCCCCAAGGGTGCCAAATGTCCACTCAAGCACACTGCTTAAGTTAGAAACACAAGTGAACAAAGGAAATCCCTGGGAGTCTGAATTTAAAGGAACCTCATTAACGGGCTGGCAGACAGTACAATAAACAGTCTATAGCTGAGGGTGTTTAACACATCATCCAAACCTGTTGTACCAGAGGCAGACAAAGACACAGCAGGAGCTCACAGGTTCTCTTAATTAATCTAGTCGTCTTCTGTGTTTGTACGGCTTTAAATATTTACTCTTTACTGAATTTTTAAAAGCTCGTATTCTTATTCTAGATTATAGTGTCGCTCTTCAAATAACTGGAACATGTGGCCTTATCTTTTCTTCGTAGGCCAGTCAGGGCGACATCGGACATGCTGTTGGACTGTTGACAACCCAGCCTGCAGAGGTTCAGGATCCTGGAGAACAACAACAGTCAGGGACCTCTGCAGAGGCCTGGGAGGGCCAGAAAGGTACACTAAGAGAAACTTAAAATGTGCTGAATAATAACAGATTATTTTCCTGTTTAGAAAAGAAAAGCATCCGTCCATTTTTAAAACTCGTCTTAAAACCCATTTTTATTCATTGGCTTTTAACCCTCCATGAGACTCGGCTCCTGTTTTAGTGTTCTATGGTTTGTTTTTAGTTATTTGTTTCTATGTTTTTAAATTAGTTTTTAAAAACATTGAAGCTATATTTTATTATTAATTCTGCTTTCATTTTATCCATTGTTTTAATTGTTTCTTGATTGTTTTTTATATTGTTGTTTTGTCTAGTTATGTACAGCACTTTGTACAGCTGTGGTTGTTTTAAAGTGCTCTACAAATAAAGTTGAGTTGAGAGTTGAGTTGAGCATACGACCTGCAGAAGGCTTAACATCAGAGCTTGATGATGCAAAAGTAGCATCATGTAGGAGACACAATTTATTTTGCTCCATATGTTGGTGAATTTGCACAGGATTTTTTTTTTTTATATCTAACCCTTCAGACCTTCCCAAAGATGAATTACAGGCGGCCATTGAGCTCAGCTTGCAGGAGTCTCACAATGCACAAGAAGAGGAGCGAGAATTCAACAGGTACCAAAAGTCTGATATTTTTGAGAACTTAATTAAGTGAAACCTTTTCATAGAGTGATTTAGAAATGTGTTTTTTTTTTCATCTACCAAGGGCCCTGGAGGCCAGTGCTGAGGAAAATGCAGCAAGAATGAAGAGGAAGAGGTGTGAAGCTCAGAGTGAGATGTGCAGCCCTGCAGACTGGATCCGTCAGGACGACTGGCCTGTGGGCATTCGCAACGTTGGAAACACCTGCTGGTTCAGCGCTGTCATCCAGGTGAGGACGAGGAGAGCTGTGAGGGATTAGTGTCTGACTGGTAACATCAAATTAATGGGACTCTGCACAGAGAAATACAAGGTCCCTGTCTGTAAACCACTGTCTAGGTTTTGACTGACTGCAACCAAAGAGGTTTCACTTTCCTACCAACTTTTCAGCTGATTTTGTACCGTCCTATTAAGGAAATGAAAAACATCAAAAGTGTGGACATATTTCAGCGATTACACCTCCATCTAGGACTGAGTTTAGTCAGGCCTAGTATCAGGTGGCTCGACAGGAACTCGAGCTCTCATTGAGATGCACAGATTGCTCGGATAATTAAATAGTAGAGATGTGATGATGATGATGGAGCCAGCGGTGGTCTACCTCTGGAGGCCTTAAATGGACAGAAAGGACCGTGATTGTTTGGCTCTGTTGAACTCAGATATGCCTCTGCATCGATTTTGAAGTCAAACCCGCCTGAAGGATGGTGGTTATTATCTAGGAACAAAAAATGGAAGGAAGAAGCAGTGTGGTTTGAATACAAATAATGTCCAAATTATCCCCTTTTTGTTCTTTTTCTTTCTACCTGTGTCTGTTACAAACAAAGCGATTGTTGTAGACTCTTCACATACAGACTCCTGATAAAGCAGTCCGCCCTACAAACATTATTATACTATCAGATTGAAGCTGAGTGACCACATGATTCAGTTGTAAGCTCATATTCCCTCTATTATCCTTTGTGGAATAAATTACAGTAAAGCTGAGATAGCCCGTAATTAAATTTCCCATTCAGGTGGAAACACATATCAAGATGGACTGGAGTGCTGAGAGGCTCCACTCATCACCGCACCACACGCTGGAGTAACTGACTGTCACTAATGCATTTAGTTTATCATCGGAAACACAAGTATCTCATGACATATAATGTCACTTAAATCATTTTTAAAGTTTCTGGGACACTTGTACCTCTTATGCTCTATCACTGAAGATAACACCAATTGATTATTAATTCTATCAAATATATTTCATCAGTGCTCAGAGTAGGTTTTAATCGCTCATTCCCGTAGCTCCATAACTCGTTGTGATGACCTGAAAGTGCTCTGTGAAAGTGCCTGATTGAAACCTGCCTTTAGCTGAGCACTTTGTGGGTTTTTTTGGAACAGATTGTGTTGAAAATGAGACAAACAAAGTTGCAAATCTTTTTCAATATTTCTCAAGCGAACATCTGAATCTTGCACATATTGGGATGCACACTTTTTATCAAAAACAAAAACATAACATATAGCTGGGTAAAGCAATCTGTGCTGATCAAGGACTTTTTTATATTTTGCATATGTTCGTGTTTGTCCTCAGATCTTTCTTAACCACCTCAGCAGATGACTACTGTAATTATGATATGACAAAAAGAGAGCTCCCACATCTGTTGTTTACAGGTGGCTACATAAATGGCCCTTATTTTGTTTTCTTGTTGCAGTCACTGTTTCACCTGCCCGTGTTCAGGAGGCTGGTTCTCAACTACCATCTGTCTGAGCGCATTCTGGAGAGGTGTAAAAGCCACTCTGTGAGTAAACTACTGATACACCGAGCAAAATAAGTGTTATTTTCCTGTGTGGATTGAATTTTTAGAAATGTTTCAGTCTTCCACATCACTAAAAGGGGTTAAACCTAACTTTCACTGGTATTTTCTGTCAAAACAAAGCCTTTAAGAGATGGTTTAAATGTGGGAAAGTTCAACTCTGACTTTGTTCAATCAGGACAAGAGGAATATAGCGTTCATGCAGGAGCTGCGCTGTCTGTTCGCCCTCATGGTGGGCTCCACTCGAAGGTTTGTGGATCCCTCAGCAGCCGTGGAGTTACTGCGAGACGCCTTCAGGACCAGTGAAGCCCAGCAGGTACAACAGCGATTTTTCCCGCATCTGCTTCAAGAAAAGAGATGCAACTAATTAGTTTAGGGTTAAAAACACTTAACCTTCAGCACTCAATCAGCATCACCTCGCTCTTTCTATTTTCATAATTTAAACACTTAAACTGATTCTGAGCAGAAGCACATGGGCAAGATTTCCCCCCTCAAAAATGAAATGAGGTGTCATTAGCAGATGTGTATTTTGTAAACAGTAATTTTGTGAAACTGTGACCTGCTGTAGGGGCATTTCAGGTTCAATCAGCTGCATCGAGAGAGAATCCTCTTTCATTAAACTTGCATAGTTTTTGCATTTTGTCTTGAATATTGTCATTGAGAACATTTTGGCATTAAGGAGTATATGCTGTGTTGGCTGTGTCTCCCTTTTGCTCTTTCTGCAGACTTCTTGCTGTCTTTTTTATCTTACTTATATTGTGAGACTTTTATTTCTGTTTGGGAGTATAATAGAAATTAAAGGCGATGTCTTCATGAAAATATGCATCACTTGTATAGGTCCAAAGCAACCCAGTGTGATTACATCTCTAATCCCCGTGCTGATTGGCTTTAGAAAGAGCATTTTTTTCTGGTCAGATCTGTGAGTAAAGAGGATGGAGTTTGCTCAGGTGTAACTCAGGTGAAGTTTGAAGCTACAGTCATGTTCGTGGAAGAGATTTACTGAAACCCTTTTGCTTCCAGCGGAAACAAAAAGACATGAAAATGGCCCAGATTGATGTTCTGATTTTAGACCTACTCTTTATTATTTCAACAATAACTACTTCATATTCTTGATTGTTGAAACCAAAAGCTGGTCAAGCACTAATTTGAGTTTTTTTCTTTTTCTTTCCAGGATGTCAGCGAGTTTTCCCATAAACTACTCGACTGGTTAGAGGATGCGTTTCAGCTCGCTGCCAAAGGAAAGTAAGTTAAAGCTTTGCCACTCATATGCATTAACTATTCTACCTCCTTTCTGTTTGTTTGCCTACTTCAGTTAATAAAATGTCATGTTAAATTCCAGTGATGCAGAAGACAAAAAGCATAACCCCATGGTTCAGCTTTTTTATGGCACCTTTGTGACAGAAAGAAAACATGAAGGTTTGAGTTGGAATATATTTTTATTTATCGGTTTTAACCAAAACGAACTCTGTTCTCAGTTAATCCCATCTTTGTTTCTGTTTAGGTAAAACTTTATGTAACATCGAGCAGTTTGGCCAGTATCCCCTGCAAGTCAACGGCTTCAACAACCTGGATGAATGCCTTGAAGGTGCTATGGTGGAGAAGGAGATTGAGTCAGTACATGCAGATCACAGCGTCACATCTGGCCGAGAGGTAAAAAGGAAAGCTGTGCACAGAGATATCTGTAAATGGTATTTTTTATTGCAAATACAGTTGCATTTTTCCTTCTTTTGCAGAGATGGTTCAAAAAGTTACCACCGGTTTTGACATTTGAGCTCTCAAGATTTGAATTCAACACACAACTCGGTCGTCCAGAGAAGATACACAAGAAACTTGAGTTTCCACAAATAATTTATATGGACAGGTGAGCTCCAGCAACACGGTCTTTGACATGCAGGTTAAATCTGTTGTTTAAACACGGTGCACTTGGAATAAATCAATGAAGCAAATTTTTGACCTCTGCAGTCTTTCAATCTTTTTTCCATGAGAATGCGCGCTACATTGTAAATGTGAAAGGAAAGATAAACAAAGTTTTATCACATTTATGTTCATGTTTTCCGCAACCACGCACCTCTGTACTGATCTGTTTGTAACCTCTTTATTCAGATATCTTCACAGAAACATAGAACAGACCCATGAGAGGAGAGGAGAGGTGAAAAAACTCAAGGAGCAGCTTTCAGCTCTTCAACAGAAACTTGAATGGTAAATAATGTACTAACGCAGATAAATAACTTTAAAATATGGATCAAATCTTTACAAGATGTCTTCATTCACAGCTACAAAAACTATGGCTCAGGACCGACCAAGTATCCTCTGGCTGACATGCTACAGTTTGTTCTGGAGTTCGCTACCACCAAGCCTTCAACCCTTTCCCCGGCTGAAGATTTCAGACCAACTTCATCTTCACCGACTCCTTTAAGCCACCCCCTCAGTGAACAGATCCCCAAAGACAACAGGTGGAGCACCAAGTACAACCAAAACCCTGAAAACAGACACTCAATTCAAAGCCAGTGAGGACTTTTCAGAGCATCATGGCTGATTTCCTTTCTTCCTTTCAGTGAACCTGAAGAATCAGATTCAGCAGAAGGTCCTGTCTCCAGTGTTTCCAGTTGCCAGAGAACCCCCATTTATAAGCCCTTCACCCAGTGCAGACACCCCATCGAGTGCCCACCTCACCCAGCCCCTCACAGCATCACAGAAGAAGAGCTACACTTCGTAAAGACCTGCCTACAGCGCTGGAGGACCGAAGTAGAGAACGACATCAATGGTATGCTAACCAAAATGATTAAAACACCCATGATGACTTTTACTAAGGATAATTCCTTGTTGGTCTCTAGATGGTAACACCACAAGCTCTGTTTGGGCTCCTAAGTTGTTCTCGATTGTTCTTAAACCGATCTTTTGGTTGGTTCTTTGGTCTGATCTGAAAGATGAGGGAAATTAAAGTGTTTATCTGTCACAAAAGCCATGTAGAAATTGGTCACGCCTGTCTGCTGAAGGCCTTCTACGTTTTGGTTACAACAAAATACCAAATACACAAGTGCATGTCAGTACTTCACAAAAGAAAAAATAACCTGAGGGCACCTCAGGAAAAAAACAAAACATTAACCCATTCCTGTCAGCATCATACTCCCATCTATTCACTATTATGGGTGAAATAGCAGGTAAACATTTATGAAAATGTTGAGAAAATAAATCAATTTCATACCTGTAGGTTATATTAATTCTGTTTCTGTTTTTGTTTCATTCTGTGTTGTTTTCACGTGTGTCAGAGCTAAAGGCCAGTGTTGACAAGCTCACACAGATGCTGGAGGGCATGTACTCAGACAACAGCCTCTGCCAGGTAGGACGTACATTCACACAATTCACCCTGACATACAGCAATCCAATTATATGGTTTACATCAGCAGCTGAAGAGGTGGCATCCACTGAGATCAGATAAAACTTTATTGATTCCTGCAGGGAAGCATAAAATGGCAAAAAGTCGAAGTCCAACTGAATACAAATAGGGACAGATCAGAAGAAGAAGTGTTTTTTACCTTTTTATAAAAATAATGGGTTATTACACTTAATACAAACCACAATTATCTGAAAAAAAATCACAAAAATTTTGTAATTTAAGATTTTACAAGGCAATCATAAGACTTGAATTTCTTTAAATGAGGTTTGCAGACAGGGTAATCTCTTGAACTCTCTTGGTAAATGAGGTACCTACTTGATAACAACTATTATTACCCATCTCAAAGGGGAGGGGTTGTTTGTATCAGCACTTTAGGACCGTTTGGTAGGCTCTGTACTAGCATGACATTTTTCTTTTATTGAGTAAGTACAAAGTTTTTATTTTAGATGAAAAGCGGGACTTGACTGTTTTAAAAAGTGTGTTTTCAATGTAACCCTTCTTTGCTCAGGTTCCGTACAAACTCCATGCAGTGCTGGTCCATGAAGGCCAGGCGTCAGCAGGTCATTACTGGGCTTACATCTATGACCACGCCAACCAGCGCTGGATGAAGTATAACGATATAAGTATCACTGAGTCATCGTGGGAGGAGCTGGAGAGAGACTCATTTGGGGGGATGACCAATGCCAGCGCCTACTGTCTGATGTACATCGATGACAGGCTACCCCAACTTATTACAGGTACCTCTCTCTCTCTCTCTCTCTCTCTCTCTCTCTCTCTCTTTTAGGGTAGATGTCACAATATTGGAATAGAAAATTACTGTGTAATGAAGAAAGTTCAACACATTGACTCCAGCTGCAGGTTGTGTAGAATACCCTCAGTGGAGTCAGAGCCGGAATAACAGAGAAACACTAAGGTATTGAGGAAAGCTTTAACGTTTCAAAAGCTATTAAAATAATATAATATTTATATTTAAATATGCCCTTGTTTCATATACACTGATAATATTCATAGTTTTTAGATAAAGCTCAAAGTCAGCCATCCTGTTGAGAGGGTTTACAATCCAAAATTGTTATTACCACAGACTGGAGATAGAATGGACGCCGTCTGCCTCCTCGCTGGTGAAGCCACCGTGAGAACAGCACCCTCTGGTGACGGGCTGCAGTATAGGTCATAAATCCCGCCTCCTCCAGCAATCCCTATGGAGCTGTGGACAAACTTTAGAAATTTATTACACAGAATATACATTTTTCTCACCCATCACCGGCTGAGCGTCATCACAGCGACTCTCAGCGACTCTCCCGCCATTTGCAGATGGAAAGAATGGAGAAAAATCGCGGAAATACGATTAGCTTTTCAGCTTCAAATCTGTATACTGGCGGAAGACGGAACCAATTTGACCATACAGTCTGTGGTTATTACCCAGATCCTTAAAAGCAACTCAGATTTAATATATTTAGCCTACTGTGAGGATATTTTAATGGTGATATCTCTGTACAATCCATAAAGACAAACCAGATCATCAGTTCCTTGAGCGAAGAATAAAAACAGCCTGAAACCCAGATGAACATTTCTCTTTATACCCTCCTGCTAAATCTTACCAGAATGTTGTTCTTAGTTTGTCATGTTTTAATGATCAAATGTATTGATTGAATATCCTCTCATCATTCATCCTCTCAGATGACACAGATGATGAAACAGGTCAGGTTCTGCGTGGCATGGACTCGCTCCCACCCGTCCTCAGGCGTTACGTCCTGGAAGATAACCGCTGGTTCCAGCAGGAGCTCAGTGAGTGGGAAGAGCAGTTCTGCCAGTCTGCAGCCGCACAGGGAGAGTCCACAGCCTCTGCAGAGCCCCCGAACCAAGATCCAGATGAGACACAGCAAACACCAGTTGAACCAGCCCCCCAGTCAGGACCAACAACTGAAGAGCTGGACCAGGAAGCACAGCCAGAACCACAACCAGTACCAGAACCAGAGAAGGGGACAGAGTCTGAGTTCACAGAGAAAGCTGAAGGTCTGTGAAGAGCTTTAAAAACAGACTGTATTTACAGTATTTACAGAGAACTGTATGACCATTAATCCATATGCACAGAAACATGTTTTTATAGATGAGAAGAAAATCTCATTCTTAATTCAAAGCAATCTTAAGAAATTATCCAATCCAAAACAATTTTATTTATAAAGCACATTTAAAAAAACAACAAAACACTGACCAAAGTGCTGTGAAAATTATAAAACAATAAAAACAGACAATAAACACAAACAATAAAACAAAGAAAGGGTTCAATGAAAACATGATTAAAAGGATTAAAAGTTCTCAAGAGTCAAAAGCCAAGGAGTAAAAGTATGAATAAATATGGATGAAATTATTAAACCAAAAACCTTCAACTTTTTTTAAGATTATCAACAATCAGAAACTTGGCAAGGACTCTATTTACTAATAAAAAAGAAGAGACTACTCTAAATGTTTCTTAAAACTAGCAGCACAATGGGAAACCTGAATTTTCCTTCCATTTAATGATTCCTAAAGGCTTTATAAAAAAAACATTATCAATATCATATAAAAAAAAATGTACAATTGTTATGCTCTGAAAGTTCTGCACTGTTTTGTTATCCTGAGTAGCTTTAAGTTTTTGCAAATACAAAACTCTAGTAGATGTTACATTGGGAAAATAGTCATGAAAGAACAGTTATCAAAAAAGACGATAAAGCTTTTTTTAATGTAATGTTACAAAAATATGGTTTGTTTTGGGCCCACACCAGCAAAGCCATAATTAACATTTTATAAAACAGAGTTAACATTTCTGTAATAATTCGTGGATTATAAAAGTCCTGCAGTACCCAACTAGGAACCTGATTTTCTCACAACTCTGCAACAAAACTTTTTACAGTCGTCATGCGTGTTCTCACAGCCTCTCTCTGTCTCTGTGTAACTTTAGAGGAGTCAGAGGTAACACTGCAACCACCGCCACAGACCCCTGACACCCTGCCAGACGACACCAGCAGCCAAACAGTCACTGATACCACCCCAGGATCCACAGAGCGCTCCAACACAGCTGAGAAAGAGCTGCAGAGTCAGGTGGGCAAGTCCCTGATATCCCCTCCCCCTTGTTCGTGGAATATGGGTCAGAAATTCTAGGCCACAAATAAAGTGTGTCCATCTGGGTCAAGGATCTGATGTCTCCACTAAGCATCCAGGCTTGATATGAAGAGGTGCACACAGATTAAAGAAAGGTCAGGAGTTATTACTGCTGTCAGCTGATTCGTTTGACAGCCAGCAGCTTGTTTCGGCATATCGCAATTTGTCGGTTAATTTTCTGTGTTTGTCGTGGTGAAAACATCAAATTACAGCCTGGAAAGTCATCATGGAGTGGAGTTTAGACAGTGATGAATTATTAAAAGCCCCGGTGATGTGGACATTTATTTTTGGATTTCCATTAGATGGCTTGAAATAAACTTGTGACTTATGTAATGAAAATGTATTTGTAGGCTGCTGCAGCCTTTCTTTTGGCCCTGCTGAGGGTATATAATACGACTTGTTACAGGATACAAATAGGTGTTTTGAATTTAGCAAGCTACCTTTAACATTTGGATTGGGTGGTTGGAGTTATGTTCATGACCCAGTTAAAATAGAAGCAAAAAAATCACCATGAAATACACAAAAATGATCTAAAAATATACATTTATGTTTAATTAATAAGATTAAAAATGAAGACAGTGATGTTAGTGTAGTCTGCTCAAAACTGATCACTGGTCTTAGCTGGTCTATCCTGGTGTAACACAGACTAGGACTAGACTACTACTTACAGTTCTCAGGTCTTATAGCTTTATAAAGAGGGATCTAAAACAAGGTCCTGAAGCTCCAAACAAGATGAAGAGAATGGTTAGTTTGAAAACCTTTTAATGTGCTCCTAATTCACGTGTTTCTGTCAGACTCCTGCCCCTGAACCCGAGGTCAGCAACCAGCCAGTATCTGTCTCCCATGAAAAGAAGGAGGACTCAGAGGGCTCAGACAGGAGCCCTCAAGCCGAAGGGGGCACAGAAACTTCTAGTGAAACCCCAGAAAAAGAAGGAAAGAAGCAGGAGGAAGAGGAGCAGCAACCGCAGGAAGAGGAGGAGGAGGAGGTTCGGCCTGCGAGACAGCGACAGCCTGAGAATGAGGTCTCAGAGGTGGAGATCCCCAATGTGGGCAGGATCATAGTGAGGGCTGACGCTGATGGATACAACGAAGAGGTAAGTAGGTTTAAAAGTGGTTTATGAAACAAAGACGGTGAGATATGACTGCTGCACCTTCAGACTTCTCATGTCATCGTAAAACTTTGCAAAAAAGTGGGTGAAATTTAAGGACAGACTCAAACGATGACATTTAATTTGGATTTGCTAGACTTTCAAAAATATTTCAATGCTTTTTTTTTTTATTTTCTGACACCACTTAAATAACAGATAACTCATTTCTCACTCATAATGTGGCTTGGTTTGTCCTCCACTTTGTCAGATTTAGAGGTTTTGTGTCTCATATGCAACACAGACGTAAACAGGTAGAGGACAAATTTGAAACCTTGAAGACATGCCGTGTTTCTCTTCGTTCTGTTGCACCGTCCTGCTTTCATTTCTGGGTTTCACATTTAATCGTGTTCATTTTTTTTTCCTCTTGATCATCGTTGACCTCTGAACTTTCTTCGCTTCTCTGTTGTTTCCTAGATGATGCTGACTCCAGCTATGCAGGGCGTCATTCTGGCCATAGCCAAGGCCAGACAAATCTTTGACAAGGAAGGACCTGAGGCCGGCCTCATTAAGGTACCTGCATCTCAAGAGTTATTAAAACTTGAGGTTAATTTATGTAAATAGTTTCTCATCTGACTCACATATTAGAGGGTAATATGGGGCTGCTTCTGCATTAGGTGATTGGTCACATGATTAGATCAAGAAGCTAGGTAGGGAGCACACAGTTCTTACTGTAATGTCATATCACCATAACTCTAACTCTGCATAACAATTTGTACTTCTATGATCATGTGTTTGTTTATTTTGACGCATGAAACACAATAAAATCCACATGTAACTACATCTTGACCTCAACAGAAAATGATGGCGGTCGACTGAAAAAATCTATTTGCTCCTCTCACACAAGAAGATACTTGAGTTGCTGCTCGAAATTCAGACAAAACAGTTTTTGTTAAATGCATCACGAGAGTTTTCAGCTGAGGTTAGTCTCCATGAAAGAAAAATGTCAGCTTTTATTACCAAAGCTCTTGTATTATACTGAGTTCTAGCAGGAGTCAGTCTGAGGTCAATCAATCACTGAAAGGCTGCACAAACTGATTTATTTTTTGTCTGGCGCTTTACCAACTATCAGCGTATCAGCAAATTAAGCTGTAATTAATCAAAATGGATCCCCTTCTGTTCTTCAGGCCTTCCACGAGGAGTATTCCCGCTTGTACGAGCTCTCCCAGGAGGAGACGACGCCTCAGGAGGATCCTCGTTTGCAGCACTCTCTGGTCTACTTCTTCCAGAACAAGGCACCCAAACGCGTCATTGAGAGGACACTGCTGGAACAGTTTACTGACCGCAACCTGAGCTTCGATGAGAGGTACACAACACTGCCAAACACATGCCCCCATTATCTGGAATCCAGACATGTTTGATAGAAACTGAGCTGCTATTTCCAAAGGTTAGACAATGAATACTTTTGAAACTGACTGAAAATGAAAGAAAACAGTTTGCAAACCCCAGTGACAATTAGAGAAACCTCTGAGGGACATTTCCAAGTCCTATCAGGTTTCAGTTTTTGATAGATGGACAAATGTAACAGAAACCAGAGTAAATCAGGCCTGGCAAATGGATTTACTTGAGCGGGCGCTCTGATAGAGATAGAACCAGTAAAGACAACAGCATGCTTATGATGTCATCTAGTGTTTAGAATAGAGAACTACACCATAGTGACAACGCTTTGTGTCCTTTCTACTCATGCAGGGCCATCAGCATCATGAGGGAAGCCCGGTCAAAGCTGCGTCTCATCAAACCAGAGGACATGGACATGGATGAATACCTGGTACTGACAGACTAATAAGTTGACCTTACTGAGCTGAGGAGTAAATAGTTTTTTCTGTTATAGGCAGTTTAACAATCCAGAGGCATAATAACTTTTCAGGAAAGTTATCTTTGCAGCAGTTTACAGTTGTTTAAGATCCACAAAAATAACAATAAATTCTATATATAAAAGAAAATTCGGAGACAGATGGTCATCAAAAATATTTTATTGTGGTGAACCGAAATATCAAAGTTTATCTATACAGCATCACAGAAACAAAGAGCTGTTCAAGCTCTTCTCAGATAATGACATTATTGAGTCTTTAAAAATACATGAATATTCTATAACAGATTTTGTATGCTAGCGATTATGCTAGCTGTTGCTTTGGATGTATTGTTCTGATATAACTGAACTCCCTTGGAACATAATATGGGCGAAGAGCAACTGCCAATGATAGTTTAGATAGCAAAAAATTTTCAAACAGTTAGTTATTCCCCTAATTTTTTTTAAGCCTTAACAATTTAATTTCTCTATATATATATATATATATATATATATATATATATATATATTTTTTTTTTTTTTTTTCACAATTCTCCTCCATGGCACATTCAAGTTAATGTTGAATCATATTTGATTACACTTTTTTTAATACTTACTACTGTGACAAGCCCAAGGCAAAAACTGTTCCCAAAATAAATGCACTATTTACATTTTGTTGAAAAAACACCATTTCCATCATCAGCAGAATCAAATTAACTCAAACTCACTGAGAAACAATGTTGGTTTTAGGATTTTTTCAGTAAATCTGTTAACACCTTGAATTTCAAATCGTAAGTACATCATGAAAGTAAAGTATCCTGCTGTCTACTGCTAAATGTCAGCTCCGTTTCGACCTTTTTGCTGTGATAAGAAAATCTAACAAAAGGAGACAAAGTGATGGTTGGTTTTTATGTGCTCTCACTCACAGCAGTGGCACGATGATTACAAGCTGTACAGGACGGTGTTTGTCTACCTGCTGACTGGACTGGAGCACTACCAGCACGGGAAGTAAGTACTTAACCTGACGTGCTGTGTTCCTGTCTCATGCTATCTAGACTGAACTTACAGGCTACTTACCTGCTCATAATAAAAGTGAAATGTACTCTGCAGCAGATAATTGGAATGATGTGACTGATGGTCTGTGTGTGTTTCAGGATGAGGGAAGCCCTGACCTACCTGGCACATGCTTATGAGACCAACACCTCCTTGCTGAAGAACGGAGAGCAGCGCGGCATGGACAAGTCCCTCATTGCCAATTACAGGAGAAAATGCCTCATTGTGAGTAACTCTGTGCTGATGAATGTAATAACTGAGCTCAGTCTGTGTCAGTAAAGGTGAGAGTTGGCTTTATGCATTTGTTTTGGATTTCTTATAGTTCCCTCAGTTTCAAACAACAGCCAGTGTGAACAATGCTCCATTTTTGTGAGATTTAAAAATGACATATGTAATTCCAGCTTATTTCTTTTCGACCAGAGCTTTGAATCATATGAAATGAAGCCAACAGGACAGTGAGATCCTTTAAGTGGACAAAATTTTACAGAAATGATGCTTATTTCATTTTCAAAAGTGAAAAAATTCCCGGCTATGTGACAGCAAATCGGTGTTGTTAGTGATATCACCTTGTATGTAATCGTGTCTTCTTTGATAAACGTTTAAAATCACAATCTGAATACAGACTGTTTGCACTATCAATACCTGAGTGCATTGGTTGTAAACTGATAAAATGCACAACAAAGAAAGTACAGAGGAAAAACTCTCTCTTCTATCGATCACGCAGGCCCTGAATGAAAGCGCATCACGCATGTTCTGCAGCGGTGAAGACGCCAGTGTAGAGGAGGGCATCTCCACCATGGATGAGGCTGTTATCCCCTGTCTTCACCTGATGAGCCGGGACTCTTCCTTGTCCCAGGAAGACCAGGACGCCATGGAGAGCATCCGCAGCCACTGGTGCTGCTGTCTGGGCCAGGACATGGATGGTAAGACTGGACCTTGTTTACTATATTGTTGTCATTTTGTGTGATTGCTTTGAAAGATTTTTTTTTCTATATTCAGGTTTCAAGTAGTAAGTAAAGCTAAATTACTTTACTAAATTAACTGCTTTGCTGGTCAAATAATCTCCAAAAACTCACTAACCCCCAGAAATTTAGTTAAAGAACTTCACTTCTTTATATCCAGTCAATCCCTTGGAACAAAAGTGTATACAAAACATACATTGATAGTGGTGCTCAGAAAACTTGAAATAATTCTCTAATTTTTCTCATGTTTTCAGCCTCATTACAAGTAAAGCTGGGAGAATTTCTGCCCCGGGTTCTCGAAGGTTCAGCAGAGACTGTCGTTCTCAAAGACCCTCCAAAAGTCCCCGTAAACCAGGCGCATGACCTGTGCAGTCGCCTGGCTGCTGTCATGGAGTCCATCCACAACACATCTGTAGTCATCGTTAAGTAAAGCCCACAGCAGCCTCCTTTGAACTGTGTGTGATCTGCAAGCAACTCCAACAGCTGATGGAACCCTCTGTGCTGACAAAGACACCAGCACTGCATGTCACATCATTAGATGTTTTTATATAGAAAGCTGCAAGAACACTGTAGGAGTAGACATGTTGAATACTTGCACATTACAGCAGCATTACAACTCAAGAAATTTGATCCAACAGGGTTCTGCTGTACTGTCCCAACAATACTGTTTTATCAGGATGACCTCGAGCAGCAGAGGGACCTGAACCTGAACACATCTGTTTTTATTTACCACAATAACACCTCAAACTCATGATTTAGACACTCTTCAACCCTGGATACATCTTGTTGGTACCCATGAGTACAGTCCTAACGATCATGACCAGTCTTGGTTTGTACAATGGCTTTGAGGTTTCATCTGCTTTTAAATTATCTTGTGCTCACTAGTCAAACATTTACTCATGCAGCAAAGCTGAACCATCAGCAGGATGTAAGAGGAGTGTAAAACTCTGTCTGGCACTCTGTTAAGTTCTGCTATAGTTAGTTTTTATTTACCTAAACATAAAATGAACTGTTGCTTAAATATGCAGGAATTGACTGGTTTATTAAGATCATTTGTTTTATTGTCGAGCAGTTTAAATGCACAACAAGGTTTTTATCAGGGAGGGAAAAAAATCTAGATTTGTACTGCACAGTGATGCTGTGTATGAGCTTTTTTAAAATATGTTTTATATTTTTATTTTTATTAGATTCCTAGACAGATTCTGGGAAATTTAACACATAGATGTAGCTAGGAAGAATATCTAAAAAAATCAAAATGGGCAAACTGTGCAATTTAAGAAAAAAGAGCCACCAGCGGATGCACAGGTCTCTCTAAATCTGTGCACTGTTGACATGTACTGTATTTGTTCATGGCATCTCTTCTTTGTAAAAGTTTGGCAGCATCTCTTTGACTGCACTTTGCTTCTCAGATCTGCTCCTCTTCTGCAGGACTCTTTATAAACCACGCTAAGACTTTTAAAGGAGATCTAGTCGATGAAGTCCTTTTTCACTGCTGCGCCAGATACAACAGGGCTTAATGAATGAGGTTTTTTTTCTTTCACTTTGGTAGACAAGTCTGGCTGCTGATTTCACACTCTGTTTTTCATCTGTAGTATTTGATGATACTCAATAAATATTTTAAATATTTTGTGTGTTTATTAATTATTTACTAGCTTCTCTACTGCTTACATCAGGGTAAAGAGGAGGAGACATGCCTGCAAGCTCACTCTGCAAGACAAGAAGTTTGGAAGTTTATTAAATCACAATATTAGCTACCCCTTACACCAGCTTTTACTGTAAAAATTCTACTGGTTAACTGGCATTAAAATAGCTTATTTCCTCCTCTCATGCATGGAGTTGTACCTAGCATGAGAAACAACTTCACATGCCTTATGTCCCGGGGTTTATGCTCCAGTACATATTACTGTTATTGCTTTAATAGGCAACAGCACAGATAATCTCCACAAATTCATGTAAATCCTTTTAATCTATTGGAGTCAAACTGTGCTGCAATATAGAGCCATGTCTGTTATAAGGTCAAGACTTTAACATTAATCTATTTTAAATGCACATCAAAGAAGTAATTATACAGAGATTAAGACAATAATACCAGAAAGTCGGGGTCTGCACCAGGGTCAAAGAAGTTCAGATGTGCCCTACTCTCTGTTTTCCAAAACTGCCCACATTCTGGATGAGTAAATACCAAGTCAAGAGGGATCTGTTAAATCTTTCTAGTGCTGTTATACAATAAAGTTGTCATAGTGTCGTGTGATAAAAAGGTCATATTATTGTAGGGGAAAAAAATCATATTATTGTTTGATTAAAATGTCAAAGTATGTAATTATAGAAATATCATAGTATAGTAAGAAAACTGTCAAAGTACAGTATGATAAAAATATCACAATTGTATAAAATAAATGTCAAAGAATAGTTTCATTAAAATGTCAAAGTACAGTATGATAAAAATATCATAGGATGGTAAAAAAGAAACTGTCATGTTATAGTATGAAAAAAACTTCAAAGTAAGAGAGAAATATCACATTAAAGTATGATAGAAATTTAATACTACAGTATAATAAAAAGATTATATTATGAAATATATTTTTTTACATTTTAGTCCTTAAAAGTATGATAAAAAGATCATATGATTGTATTTTAAAATTGTCATAGTAAAGTTTGATTGAAAAGATAGCATTGTATGTTTAAAATAGTCATAGTATACTTTGATGAAAATTTTAAATTTTAGTATGAAAAAGGTCAAAGTATAGTATGATAAAAAAATGTCAGTAAAGTATAATGAAAATTTCAATTTTTTGTATGAAAACAATGTCATAGTATAGCATGACAAATATATCACAGTAAAGCATGATAAAAATTTCAAATTTTTGTATGAAAAATTTGTCATAGTATAGTATGTTCAAAATGTCCCAATGCAGTATGATAAAAATGTCAGAGTATAGTATGATAAAAAATTTAAAGTTTTGTATGAAAACAATGGCATAGTATAGTATGTTAAAAAATCTCAAAGTATAGTATTAAAAATATGTCATAGTAAAGTTTGTTAAAAAATTGAAAATTTTAGTATTAAAAAATGTCATATTATCGTAAATAAAAAGTGTCATAGTTAAGTATGATAAACATATCATAGTATAGTATGATAAAAATGACAGGGTATAGTAGGGTTAAAATGTCATAGTATAGAATGTTAAAAAATATCATAGATTAGTATGATAAAATAAAAGATAAGTATTTCAAATAATTATAGTTAAGTTTAATAAAAATATAATAAAAAATGATAAAAAAAATATCATAGTATCTGTGTTGAAACATAGTATTGTATGATATAATTTCAGATTTTTGTATGAAAAAAGTCATATTATAGTGTGTTAAAAAATGACAGTTCAGTATGAAAATAATGACATAGTATAGTTTGTTAAAAAAACATCATAGAATACGATGATAAAAAGGTTCAAATTTAAGTATGAAAAAGTTATACCTCAGTATGTTAAAAATATCATAGTAAAGTATGTTAAAAATCTCACAGTATAGCATGTAAAAAAAAGTAAGATTTTAGAATGAAAAAAGTCATAGTATTGTTTTTCAAAAATGTAAAGTATTTAGAAATAATGTCATAGTATAGTATGATGAAAATTGTGAATCTGTATGAAAAAAATAGCATAGCATAGTATTATAAAAATCATAATATAGTATCATCTACATGTTACTGTATAGGATGATTAACATTTCAAATCTTAGTAGGAAAGATTTGTCAAAGAAAAGAATACTAAAAATGTCCAAGTATATATAGTATCTTAAAAATGTCATGATATAGTTTGATAAAAAAATTCAAATTTTGAAAAAAACAAAGTTTAAGTATAGTATGTAAAAAATATCATAGTATAATATGATTAAAATTTTATTATAAAAAAGGTCATAGTATTGTATATATTAAAAAATGTCATAGTATAGTATGATGAAAATTTCAAATTTAAGTATAATAAAAGTCATAGTAAAGCATGTCAAAAATGTCACAGTATAGTATGTCGAAAAATGTCAAAGTATAGAATGATAAAAAGTTTAATTCTTAGTATGAAATCTCATTGTATAGTATGACAAATATGTCAAAGTATAGTATTACAAATATGTCACAGTATAGCATGATAAAAATGTCTTAACTCTAGTATGAAAAAAAAATTTCATTGTTTAGTATGTTAAAGTTTCCTATGTCAAAAAAATCATATCATAGTATCATAGTATTGTATGATTAAAATGTCAGACTAAAGCATGATAAAGTTTCAAATTTCAGTATGAAAAAAAAAATGTCATAGTATAGTATATTTAAAAAAGTCAAAGTATCATATGATAAAAATTTTCAAATTTAGTATGAAAAAGTTATAGTAAAGAATGTTAAAATGTCATAGTATAGTATGTTTAAAAAAGGTCATAGAATACTATGATAATTTCAAGTTTAAGTTTAAAAACAAGTCATAGTACAGAATTTTAAAAATGTCAATGTATATTATGTTTAAAAAATGTCAGAGTATGGAATGACAAATTTCAAATTTTAGATTAAAAAATATATAATATAGTATAGTCAAGACATGTCATAGTATAGTATGACGAAAAATTCAAATTTTAGTATAATAAAAGTCATAGTAAAGCATGTCAAAAATGTCACAGTATAGTAGGTCAAAAATGTCAAAGTATAGAATGATAAAAAATTTTACTTCTTAGTATGAAAAAAATCTCCAAGTATAGTATGACAATTATGTCATAGTATTGTAGTACAAATATGTCACAGTTTAGCTTGATAAAAATGTCCTAACTCAAGTATGAAATAAAGGTTATTGTTTAGTGTGTTAAAGCTTGGTATGTCAAAAAAATGTCATAGTATAGTACAATGAAAATTTTAGAGTAAAGCATGATAAAATTTAGAATTTCAGTATAAAAATAAGTCATAGAATAGAATGTTAAAAATGTCAATGTATAGTATGTTGAAAAATGTCAGAGTATGGTATGATAAAATTTCAAATTTTAGATTAAAAAATGTCATAGTATAGTATGATGAAAATTTCAAATTTTAGTAATAAAAGTCATAGTAAAGCATGTCAAAAATGTCATAGTATAGTATGTCAAAAATATCATAGTATAGTATGATAAAAATATTACTTTTTTTATGAAAAAAATATCAAAGTATAGTATGACAAATGTGTCATAGTATAGTATTACAATTATGTAACAGCATAGTATGATACAAATATCCTAACTCTAGTATGAAAAAGAAAAACCATAGTTTAGTATGTTAAAGTTTAGTGTGTCAAAAAAAGTCATAGAATACTATGATAAATATGTCATATTATGGTAAAATGTTCTAATTTTAGTTTAAAAAAATTAATGGTACATTATTGTTTCAAATGTCCTTGTATAGAAGAATGAAAATGTCAGAGTACAGTATGATAAAATTTTCAAATTCAAGTATGGAAAAAATTGTTATAGTATAGTGTGTTAAAAAATTTAAAATTTAGAATTAAAAAATTCATAGTAAAGCATGTTAAAAGATCATAGTTCAGTATGTTTAAAAAAGGTCATAGAATACTATGATAAGAATTTCAAATTTAAGTATGAAAAAAGTCATGGTATAGAGTTTTAAAAATGGCATAGTATAGTTTGTCAAAAATGTCATAGTGTAGTATGATGAAATTTCAAATTTTAGTATGACAATAATCCACTAGCTAAAAACTGGATACCACCACAGAGGAAATTGTTGAATTAAAAGTATGACAGTAGAAAAACGTGAAAGATTTTATACATAGTCTGTATATACTATATACATATATACTGTATATTCTATATACAGTCTATGATTTTACACTTTTCTATCAGTGAAATTGACATGCTTTTATTTTGAAGGCCACCGGAGGTCTTCCTCTAACGCCTTTACTTTTCCTCATCCTCAACGAGTTTCTGCTCCCAACGGCCCTTAGAGAGAAGAAACGAGCTCCTGTGAATTTACACACCTGTGAAGAGAACTGACACACCGGTACGTGAAATATGGCGGAGAAAAGGGGCGTTTGTTGCCTGGAGTACCGGAGCTGAACGCCGAAAACAGCAGCAGCAGCGGCAGCGGCAGCAGCAGCAGCAGCAGCAGAAGAGGGAAGTAGAGCTCATCCCAAACAGACTGCAGGCAGCGGGCTCACTTATTGTTCCGGACAGTGTGGAGAGAGGACCCTACTGCTGCTCCTATCACTAACTCAGACTGCGCTTTAGCACACAGGTAAGATTTAATATATTCCAGGTACATAAAAAGACGACTAACTTAATGAGAAAAGGCGTGGACTGTTGAGCTAGTTGAGTTGGCTAGCTAAAGTAGGCGAGGTTTAACTATGTATGATTATTTTTCCACTTGGAGTTTGCTTGTAACCATCGTTAATCCAAAATATTTATGTCTCATTTTGCTTTGCATCAATAGTCTTCCTTTTCAATCAAAAAAATGTGTACTCTAAAACTGTAGCAATGTGTAGGATTAGCTTTCAGTAAGCTAAAGTTGGTCATGGAACCTGCTAACTTCACACAGTTCTAAATATACATGGAGGCGTCTAAGATCACTCATCTGCTCAAGTCTCAAACCTGCAAAACGAGGGGATCCCCACACAGCTCGGTGCCCTCCTCTACCCTTTAAACAAGATAATCAAGTATTTGCATTGAGCCCATGGTGATGCAACATTTTAATTTGCTCATTCAAATTCACATCTGTTTCTCAATGTTGTGTCCTACAGTCTCTCCTGTACTTCACAGTTGATTCGGACAGACCCTGTGTTGACTCACCTTACACTCTCTATTGCCTGGAGTTGTTTTTCTTCTTTGTTATTACAATGACAGACTCTGTGCAGGTTTGTTTTAACTTGGAAAACCAGTTGTTTGTGTGCACACATTGAAAGTAATCTCATCAGTAGAGGTGAATAAGCAGAATTGCCCAATGACTGCTCCACAAGGATGCACTGATAAACTAGAACCATTATGAGCGTTAATGCTGATGTATTTTTTTTATTCATTATCCCATCTCAGCCCCATCACCCCATCAGCAAAACGATATGAGTCATCCTGAGTGAGCCTATATTAGTCAGCAATGTGGCTACAGTTCAACATGTCTAATACACATTTAGGTCAAATACAATATTATTTTTTGGTCGTCCGGTTAATTTCAGATGTCTGAAATCATTAGAAGAGGTAGGTGCCAGCTAAAGTGGTTGATCGTATGTTACTGTAACAGCACTTTTTTTGCATCATCCAAAGTTATACATCAAAGTTTGTAGTATAGCAGGGTAAGAGTTGTATTGAGTTGTACATGTGCAGGACAAATCTGCTTAAGATATGAGTAGTATGACTTGCCAGTATCAAATACAGGTTGAAAGTCCCTCACAGGAGCTTTAAACAGCCTGACAAAGGTCCTCATTTTTACCCTAACATGAAATAAACAATTAAAGCAAAGAATGATAAAATATTAAAATACATTACGATAAAAAGATCATATTAAAGTATAAAAATGTCAGCATATTGTGATAAAAATGCCATATTATAAAATGATTTTAAAAAATCATTGTAAAGTATATAAAAAATAAGTTCAGTATGATAAAAAAAATACCATAGTATAGTATGATAAAAATCATTGTAAAATGTGTTAAAATATCATAGTGTCATATGATAAGAAATATCATAGTTTAATGATAAAAGTTTCATGTTATAGTACAATAAAAATGTCACAGCATAATTTGATTTAAAAAATATATATATCATAATATAGTATGATAAAAATATAGTTAAGTAAGATAAAAAAATAATTGTAAAATATATAAAAAATATCATAGTACAGTATGATAAAATATGTGTACATGAAATCAGTTTAGTTCCAATCAAAGTATTGTCACAAGAAGCTAGAAACACAGATAATAAAAAAAATAAAACTGCAAATACTCAATAGTAACAAGCTATTGTTCAGCTATTACGTTCTTTTCTAATGCGCGTTTGTTTCCATAGGCTTAACACAGGATCTTCACTTTTAGACAGATATGACATAAAACAACAGCAATCTGTGAATTCCAACTTATTATCCAAATAAGGTCATATCAGCGTGAACCAATATCATCTGATACTGAAAATAAACCAGTCAAAGAACTTTTTAAATCCCTATTTTTAAAAGAGATATGCCAATCAAGTTATTATTATTGTTATCATTATTATTACATCACTGTGTCTCTGCTTGACTATTATAGGTTGGTCGGCATATTTTTGCCATTTTTTTGAATATTGGCTTGGCTAGGATTTGCCCATTTTCTGCCAGAGACACACAAAGTCTTGACAGGCACTAAAATCAGCTTCATTCTTAATAGACTGAAAAGAAGTTTTATGGTTTTGATGGAATTTTTTCCATTAAAAATTCCCAGTTGTGTGCGAGACTTTGAAACTTCAGAAGTGCATTCATGAAATCATTCAGAGTACTTGAAAGACAACTGTTGAATGCCATGTTGAGTTTCCCCCAAATAAAGAGAGATAGCTAATAAAATAAAACCCTTTCTGGTATGCAGTTATTGTAGAATTAACCTGCATTTATTGGACAGTTTGCAAGCGATTGCAACAGCTTTCTGCAATATTTTAGCTCCACCAGAATTTTCCATTTTATTTAACCACTACTCTACCAGAAATATTCCCTCTGAAATACCATCCTCTTCTTTACTTTTACAAAGGAGTCCAAGCCGAGAGAGAAGCAGCATCCATCACAACAAGTAACGTCAAGACTTGAAAGGGGGAAACAGAGAAAAGCTGATCAGATAGAAGATATTTAGACATGTTTTAGAGTGCGTTCACTATTCTCCCAAACAAATCTGTAGTTTCTAGTCTTCTGGGTTTAAAAAATACTGTAAGGAAACAGAACAAAGCAGAGGAATTGCTGCTATATTTAAAACTCCCTCTGTTTGTGTTCATGCTTTATCTTGGTCATAATAGCTGTTTCCTGTTCTGCCTTCTCCTCCCACTCACTTCTATGCACTGAAAAGGACACACAAGTTCCAGCTGATCTGCCTCTTTGTTGAGCGCATGAAGGAGCAAAATGTGATTGTGCTGACAGACAACATTCCCCAAAAGTTCACTCGGCCCTGTGGGAATATATAGTTTCTTTCCTTAAATGGGCAAAAATATGCTTGAATATCACCAGTATAATGCATGACGATCATGTAGTATACCAAGGATGCCTGGCCTGCTCGTCACAATAAATCACACTTAGAGAGAAATGTAAAATTTCCTCTTTAAACAAATGCTATTTTTTCCTCATCAAACCTCTCATGCTTGTCGATGAGCAAAAGAAAATGCTCGTTCACTCTTTTTGTGATTTTATAAAACACCTCAATCTTTTCAGAAGCTCTTGCAGTCTGTCGGTCACCCTTATGTTCTCCTTAATCATCTCTCTTACTTCTCTCCAAACAGGCGCCATGAGCAGTGAGCTGAACGTGCCCATGGGCTCCCCAGCGCCCGGAGCTTCAGAGCGGGCTCCTGACGGCGGGATGGACTACAGGGACTGGGTGCGACGGAGCTACCTGGAGCTGGTCAGCTCCAACCACCACTCAGTGCAGGCCCTGTCCTGGAGGAAGCTCTACCTGAGCCGGGCTAAGCTGAAGGCCTCCAGCAGGACGTCTGCTCTGCTCTCCGGGTTCGCAATGGTAGGCCACGTCCACCTAATGGCCCTCATTTATCAATCTTGAGTAGATCTGAGCGCAGGATTCATCGTACGATAGGACACACGTGAGATTTATGAAAGGGTTCGTATCTGACCAATCCCAGCGTACATATGATCGGGTCTTGATAAATGCGGCGGCTGAAATCAATCGTCATTAACATGTTCACGCCCTCAAATATTGGTGGTTCAGAAGCCTCGCCCAGTGAGGTCAGACAATCCTTGGAAACTAACAAGGATTTTCTCTTTGGAAGCATCAAAACTGGTATAAAAGTAGTCCAGTCCATGTCAGAATCCATCGATAAGGTCCTGTCTCCTCCGTACAGGAGACATCGATAAGGTCCTGTCTCCTCCATACAGCACCTTTGTGGAGTCTCTCCTCGTTATTGTTCTCCGGGCATCGGGTCTTCATAACCGGCACAACCAACGGCACTCCATTCTCCAGTGCAACATTGTGCAAAACCGTACCGGCCCAAATGATGTCCCACAACCTCTCAGAGTGTACAACAACGTCCCCGCTGCTGGGCCAAGACGGAGACACCTGCCTTTTAGGAGTCAAACGCAGCGCTACACAGTGGCGCGTGTGCGTGTGTGCGCCATGTTGAAACGGCGCTCCTGCTCTGTGGCAGTGTTTCTGGGCAGAGTTATCAATTAGGCCTATTCACTAAGGACGTAACAAATTTAATCTTTAATGAAATCTGGCTGATTGTGCTTCATGACAGGTTTGAGGTTTGTTTATCAGTTATTTTGAGACAGACATTTGCTACACCGCAGATCCACACTGACTCAAACTTGCGTACACGATGTCGGACCTGTCGTGAGATTCGGTCACAGCATACGCTCACATGCAGATTGTTAAATGCCGACCCTCACGTCGCAACTAAGTTTTCCACCGTACGCAAGCTTGATAAATGAGGACCATTATGAGCAGCTTTTACTTTCTCCTTTCAACAATTCATGAGAAGCCTGTGGTTCTCAGTTCTTCCACCACAATGATGTGTTCTTTCTCTCTCATGCACCAGATGGGCTCACTGGTCTCATGAAAAAGCAGGTCTGGGCAGGAAATGGTTATAAACATCCTGTCTTTGCTCTCAAAAGAGGAACAAAACACCGACAACGGCTCTAGAATAGAACTACCTTGAATTGCAAATGTTTGATCGGATCAACGGCCAGATTGAGTTTTTCTGCAGCAACTGTGGTTGAAATTTCCTTTTTCAATTATCGGTCCTGCAATACTCTTGTATCCTATTATCTAATGGGCATGCACCATCTTATATGATGGATTTCTCTGTCATAGACTCCAGTTTATTTGTCTTTGACCTCGCCTGCATTTTCGTCAACTGCTTTGTTCTTCTCTTAATTTTCGTTGTCGTTTTCTTCCGCTTCATCCGGGTCCGGGTCGCGGGGGCAGCAGCTTCAGGAGGGAAGCCCAGACGGCCCTCACCCCGGCCACTTCCACCAGCTCCTCCGGGGGGATTCCCAGGCGCTCCCAGGCCAGGCGAGAGATATAATCCCTCCACCTGGTCCTGGGGTCCGCGAGGTCTCCTCCCGGTGGGACATGTCTGGAACACCTCTAATGGGAGGCGTCCAGAAGGCATCCTAACTTCAGCTGACTCCTCTCGACATGGAGAAAAGCAGCAGTTCTCCTCTGAGCGCCTCCCGAGTGTCCGAGCTCCTTACCCTATCTCTAAGGCTGAGCCCGGCCACCCTGCGAAGGAAACCCATTTCAGCCGCTTGTATCCGCGATCTTGTTCTTTCGGTCATCACCCAAACTTCATAACCATAGGTTAATTTTATGTACCATAAAGAAACTGTCTGATAAATTCACTCGATTTCTTTCCGTGCAGAGATTTGACTACAGTTTGCCTGTCAGATTATTAGCACATCTGATGAATCGGTCATCGGATTAATCAGTTCGTCTCCGATGTAAATTACGAGGACTAATTTTGTATCCGTGTCCCGTATCCGTGTCATAGGTGGCCATGGTGGAGGTGCAGCTGGAGATGCATTACAGTTACCCTCCTGTGCTCCTCATCGCCTTCAGCGTGTGCACCACCGTGCTGGTGGCGGTGCACCTCTTCGCTCTGCTAATCAGCACCTGCATCCTCCCGAACGTGGAGGCCGTCAGCAACATCCACAACCTCAACTCCGTCAGCGAGTCTCCACACGAGCGCATGCACTACTACATCGAGCTGGCGTGGGGCTTCTCCACAGCGCTGGGCATCCTCCTGTTTTTAGCAGAGGTGGTCCTCCTCTGCTGGATCAAGTTCCTGCCGGTGGACTCCTGCGTGATCAAAAAGGGGACCACCTGCGGCTCCACAGCAACAGCGACAGCAGCGCCGCCCGTGCCGCAGGACAGCGGCTGGCAGGCGGCGCTGGCCTCCACCATCATAATGGTGCCGGTGGGGGTGATTTTCGTGGTGTTCACTATTCACTTCTACCGCTCTCTGGTGCGCCACAAGACAGAGCGCCACCACCAGGAGATAGAAGAACTGCACAAGATTAAGGTGCAGCTAGACGGCCACGAGAGAGGCCTCCAGACTGTGTGAGAGCAGGACGGCAGCTTTAAGACTTCCTTTACATCCTCTATTTATCCTCTCTTCTCTGTCTGTTTCTCAAAGCTTCACTCCCACCGTGGGCTTCAAAGCTCCGCAAACACACGTCAGACTGCTAATTTATTCTTAAGGTGTTCAGTGTTTTTCTGTAATTAGCTTGTCTGTGTTGTAGCTCTGTGGTCAGTGTTGGTCAATAATGTTAAAAAAAAAGTTTACAGAAATAAGGGCTAAAAGGTAGGGATGCACTGATCTAGCTGTTTGATAATTAGCTGTGTGCCAAACGGTGAAAAGGACTGAAATATCCTTTAATCTGAGAGGCAAACAAACCCAACTCTTAACTTTTCTGGACAATGCTCCTGCCACATGTGACACGGTGCCACGACACAATCCTAAAAGGAGACATGAACATGAGGTTGGTGCATCCCTACTGAAATGTTCTGTGTGCCATTTTTTTTTTTTCTGTGCCATGTTTCTGAGCAGGATTCTCATGGTAGGGTTTGGAGAAGGTCACTGGTTTCTTTTTGGGTCTGGTGAAAGGTAATACTCGGATTCAAGAAAACTCACTCATACAAATCTCCTCATGTATCTGTTTTCTGCTCTTACACCTTTTAAAGCAAAGAGTCACCTAAAGCAGCGGCAAACCTCAGCTGCTTCGAAATGCAAAAGTAACGTGGCTGATGACTGCAGCTCTTAAAGATTTTCAGAGAGAAAAAAAAAAAAAGAGTCTGAAGTTTGTGTAAATTGGAGAATCTGCGAGTTGAACTTATTATAATGCTGCAACTACTAAACTCATAAATGTCAAAGCTTTGAATCAGGACCTTTAGTGTTTTGGTTCTTACACCAAAAAGTCATTTTTGCACCTGAATTCATGAAGTCAACCTTTAAATTGACAACCATTTTAGACACTTTATCTAATATTTAAAGCGAATAACAAGACCACACCTCTGCCTTCTCAGATCTTATTCTTTAACTGAAAGTCCTTTTTAAATCTATTCCCCTTCAAACACTGAACATTACATGGCGTCAGTAAGAGATTTGACAAGATCAGAGTTTATGAAAGTTATACACCAGACTATCAAATCCAACCCAACCCGGACCATGTTGCATGGATTTCGATGTGAATGCTCCTCGGTAAAGCTAATATTTGTGGTTAAATTGAACTGTGTCCTGCGTCACTCTGCAGCTTTGTGTCTCACTGTTTTTTTCTCACTGATTGGGAGCATTTTTACGCTTTGTTCAATGTTGTAAAGTCTTAAAAATGTTACATTCTTGCCAAACTGTATTGGGATGTGGGTTACTGTTTTACACCCAGAATCTCACACAAGCCTCAAACTCATCTTCCTCTTTCAGACTGCTTTTATCGTCCTACAGAGACCACAGATCCTGTGCGAAGGAACTCATCAGTCCTGCACGCCGATGCTGCTTCAATATGAATGTGTTAATCTCCAAATATAGCTATGCCTTACGGAAATATTGCCTTTTATGAACTGCTGTTTTGCTGGAGGCCATCAAATAAGCAGCTGTGTTTACCGGGAAAGAAGTTTAGACGACGATAACGATGATGATGATGAAGGCCCAAAGGGCTGGAGAAAAGGTCAACGTGGAGAAGAGTCATGGAGTGCATGTTGTAAATCAGCATGACTTTGTGTCAACCAATATATCAGATAATGAACTCGTTGAGTGTTGCCAGAATTACACACACGTTGGTTGTGCAAGTTACTGTGTTAAAAAAGGAAAATGTACCAACTTGTTTTCACATTCCAAATACAAGCACTGACCAAAGTGTCGCTCAGCCGTTTGTTTCTGCCTCTCTGAAGAGACCATGTGCATCTGTAGTTGAGTCATACAGAGAAGAAAGTTTCGGACTTTATCTGGAGTTCACAGAGACGTTTGTGTTGGAAGATAAAAGTCACAATTTGCAAAAGAGGTTGAAATAAAAACAAATATCAAAGTTATCAACATGTCTTTGTGTCTATAAGCAGTTCAAGACATGCTTGCATTAAAGGATAATTCCAAAGTTTTTTTAAACCGTGAGCAAATCTTATCAGCAGAGTCATGACAGACTTTAAAAGCTAGAAAAACCGAACTCAGAAAAAGAACAGTAACATCTAATAAATACACAATTAAGCTCATTTGGAAACACCTGCACAGAACTGTAGTCCAGGTTTTTACATGCAAAAACACATGAGGCTTCAAATATTCATATTAGAGAATTGTGTTATTACCTCCATCCTCATGGCACTCTTTTTTTGTGTTGGTCCATACAAAATTAATTAAATCCATTTAAACCTGCATTTGTTGTATCAGATGCCTAGAAATGCCTCCAAACCTTTGTGTACATTCAGATTACTAAAACACACATCTCATTAAAATCCTCCAAAAGTTCACACTTGTGCAGTTAAAAGTGGTGTTATTCAGTTTTTCACACCTATGAAAGATCTACTCTCTTTCCTTGCTACACTGGCCTTCCAGTCGCTGCAATATTTAATACGTCCACTAGCAATGCCCCTGTCTCCACTTTTCAACTCTAGAAAGAAAAGAAAATCCACTCCTTTAGCACCAATTTAGTACGTAAATATCAATGAACCCCTTTGTGGAGTAAATCTGTTGAGGAGGTGTCCTGTTGGACTGTGTGTTTGTCCGGTCTTCTTCCCCCTCAAGGACAGTATTGTGGGATTACACAACCCTCAGATATCTCAAATATTTACAGATCATTCTTCAGATAGCTGCGGGACACTTGGGACAACAGGAACATCAATTCTCTGAGCTGAACAAGAAGAGAAGAGAGGAATATAGTTCTCATAAACTAAAATAAAGATTAGTCTCAGTCTTCCAACCAAGTAAAATTTAATGTTCGTAGAGTCCTGGACACAACAGAAAACATGAGGGAGAAAACATCAGTTGAGGAGACACAAGACTCCATGGCAGCACTTTTTTGTCAGTAACACGACTCCAGTGTTTGGCAACATACTGGAGACTTTGAAATGTTTTTGTTGTTGATTCTCATTTTAATCTGCAAATATTACAAAATCAGAAACCTGGAAAATAGAAATTCAGAAACTCATGTGTCGTACATTCTGTTCAAGAACTGAAATGAAGCATTTTAATCCCCCCCAAGAGAGCCATACTTTCAGTCTGTCTGCACTATTCTTTACAACCCAGCAGGGGGCAGACTGTTCATGTGCCACATCTAAACTCTATAAGCCATGTTAAACATTACTCTTGAGAACAAAATTCAATAATGCTGCCGTTTACATGTTTTTATCTCACCATGGATGCAAGCATTAACCATGTTTAACCAGCTTTTAACACCCCTTCCCCATCCCCTGCTTCACATGCACAAGCTACATAGACACTACAGCTACATCTTCAAGACCTTCAAAGCCACAAAAAACATCCACTTTATGTACACGCCTCAGAGAGAATACAGGGACCGCCGTAACAGGCTACTTACCCTTTTTCTCAGGAATAGATTATACATTTGGGTGTGTTTGAAGTCATCAATAAATCAAATACTTATTAGCTTTTAGAAAATAAAATATTTTTTAAATCTTACAACTGAAATAAGAGATCCAAAGAAAACTCACAAGCTGAAGTCTCACTTTTATCAGTTAGGAACAAATATGTGATAAAATGTAAACTCAGAGGGAAAAATAATCCCAGAGACATTCAGTTTGTGAGCGAAACTCTAAATGATCTACTTATTTGATTTGTGAGATATGAAAATTATATGTTCTTCAGTATTTCATACTTTTTTTCCCCAACAAAAACAACTTAAATTTCTCCTTGGATAGCAAACCAATGTATGTTTGTAATTCATTAGCTTCTTTTTCTCATTGATTTAGGAATCAACAGGTTCAAGAAAAAGTTTTTAAAAGTTTGAACATTAACTTCTGACGGTTTACAAAGTTCATCATTTTCCATCTCGTTAATCAAAGCGTAAAATCCCAACGCCCCTCCTGCTGCAAAACAAAGGTGACAGAATGAGCTGAGAAAAAAATGCTCCAAGCTGATAAACTGAGGTTGATCTGTGGCTTAAGGTCTGATGCTCACAGGGGAATGTTCATCTAAATATGAGGAGTGCTTTGAGGAACAAAATCTGAAGGGAAAAGTTCATAAACCAAGTGATACCGACTGTGTTTTGACCCATGTATCATGAACTGGACTCCCAGAGAGGCTTGGGTTTGTTAATCATTCCTGGTACGTTATTCTGGGAGCACAACTTGATTATTTGTCATTTAGATGTAACAACACAGAAACATTTAGCATAAACCAGCCATTAGAGAGCTGAACGGTGAGAAAAGGAGCAATTTTCTGAAACAACATAATCAAGTTGTGATCTGAAGAAAACGTACCTTCAAATGGTCAGAAACCCAAACCCATCTGAACTTCTACAGCTAGCTGCTATTGACCCATCCTGAAATGTAATTTTATACAAAACTTATTTCAAAAACACATTAAAATGAAACACAAGTGACACACTTTCTACAAAAAGGAAATCTAAAGTTAGATGAATCAGAAAACGTAGATAATATTAGACAATACTTCTCTGGTATATTCTTATTCTCAAAAGTTATTTCAATAAAGCCAAAAGCTACTATGATCGGTGCAAGTGCTGAGCATTACATCATTAACAGGAAATCAACTAACTGTGCAAAAAAAACAAAACAAAAACAAACCGTTATCAAACGAATGAAACTGACTGACAGTGTGAGCCCACGTGGACCGATGAAGGCAACAAAGAGGATGTCAAGTGGAGTCAGCATGCAGCTCAAAGACACAATAAGGCATCTGAACATCTCCGTGGGCTCCCATGCCTGATAGCTCCGAACACCACAGCTGAACAAAGACGTCCCGTTACTGCGAGTGTCCTCCGAAACTGTGCGACACAGAAATCTGTTAATGAGCTTTTGGTGTTTTGGCAGTTTTCTTCTGCTTTTTTAAGCCGCATCCGGACTCAGCGAAGGCTTTGTTTGGAGAAGGTTATTAAAGGTTTACGAGGGTTTACAGCACATGCTAATATGAGGATGCTGAGGCAGTTCTCCCCTGCGGACCTCTGATTATGAGAGAAAGTGAAAAGATGGTTGTTCTAACTACGGTCTTCATGGATCACATGAGCAGCTTCATGACCTCTGAGGAGTAAGTCTGACAGGTTTGCTGGAGTGTCTCAGAATTTCATTTGAAACTTTGATCATCGAAAACATCTATCACTATATTTTTGAGGCTATACAATGAGTAACATGAACTTCTTTAAAACTGAAGTTCTTTTTTTCCTTTCCTTCCTTCCTCAGTAACATCGATGCCAGCTGTCATGCACAGTTTGTCCCGATAACCTAAATATTCAGGAAACTCATACAACCCCTACAATTCTGAAACGACATGCCATGGGGTACAAAACAAAAGAAAAACAACCGAAATCATCGACTAGAGAGCTAACATAGCTTATAATCAATCTAAGGCAAAAGGAAAACAAGATAGTAGTAGATAGGTGAATTTAGGAGCTTTCTGACAACATACTGTGTTGGCTATTACATGCGGACCAAAGTCCTGTAGTCCATGTCAGCCCCCCTGATGGGAAACCCCCTCGCACTCCTGCACAGCGTGGGTTCTGGGTCGTGATCTAGAAGGACGCCCGCTGTTACACTCTGAAGCTCTCGCCTTTGCCGTCGATGTGGCGCAGACGCAGGTAGACGTCTGTGCCGATGCCCTGCATAGACTGTATGGACAGTGAGCCGCCCAGGTACTCAGCGTACGCCCTGGATGTAGGCAAACCGAAACCGAACCTGCACAGACAGACACGGACACACATTTTTAAGTGTTTTTTTGTTTTTTTGCTTTTCTACGACAGATCATCTTATAATTTATCCTCCAGCTTTTCATATGATTGTATTGTTCTGCAGTTGTATTCTTAAGACATAGTAGAAAATATGAAAACTATATTCTCATTTTTGAATTGATACCACCAACATATTTTCAACAGTTGTGACGGGAACAGCACAACACTGAGGAAGTTGTGTAGCACTTCAGAAAAAAAGCAGAAAAACACACACCTGGAGGAACTTTTACCAGCTAATGAAGTTAATTTGCGACCGGTTGAGTACATGACTGTGTATAAACAGGATACTGCTGAAAGCCATAGTGTGTCAGAATAAAGATGGGAAGAGGCTCGCCACTCCGAAACAGACTGGGTGAGGAAATAGTTCAATAATGTTCCTCAGCATATAATTTTGGGACTTCATCAACTACGGTGTATAAAATTATTAAAAGATTCAGAGAAACTGGAAAAATCCCTGTACAAAAGACAAGATAACAAGATAGATGGACCTCAGGCATGACTCTGAAATGGAAATCTTTACATCAGCTCCAAATCATTCCCAAAAACCACTGTCTGATTGTCTGTTAACATGATCCAGAAACAGCGAAGACCCTCTGGGCCTGAGCACATATAGGATGGACAATGGAGGAGAAAAAAATGTGGTGTGGTCTAAGATATCCGAGTTTGAAACCATGGATGCTGAGTGAAGAGAAAGACCACCTGGCTCAGCACCCCCTTGCTTAAATACCTGGGAAGGCACCAGTCATGCTGAACATTATATACGAGTTTCAGAGCAACAAGTGCTGCCAGCTCTTACCCGTGCATGGGGCTGGAGTGGTTTCCACTGTTGGTAATGGTGTTGAAGAGGTTGCTCATGCGTGGGTCCTGTGCGCTTTCCTCAGCCGTGCTGAAGTGATAATCCATCACCTTTTCTACAATGTTGTGCGGGATGCC